GGGAAGGTCCTCGTGCACAGCACCAAGCCCCTGGAGCTTGACACTCGCGCCCAGAACCATCTCTGAGTCTGCGCAGCCGCTGCTCCATACACGTGCATTTTCTTGCGTCTGTGTGTCTGTGAGTCTGTGACGACGGTTTGAGTCCCCCGAGGGGCGTGGGGTTCAGTGGGAGAGACCTTTCGGAAGAAAACTCCTCACTTAAGCCCTTTAGTTTTGATAACACGAGTTTATTTTCCATTATCGAAATCTGATCATTCTTGTGATTGAGTCAATGCCAGTTCTTAAAGAACTCTCCTTTATTTCTGTATATGAAGCTAATGTTTACCTTGAAAATTTTGCAAAATACATATGAGAAAGAAAGAAAATATATTTTGAAAATATTTTTAAAGAAATCTCTATGTTCCTAAAACTCTATTTCTTTCAAAAATGTTGCGGACCAAGTGGAGAAAACGAATCCTTACCTGTGTTCTGTGTGTAAGGCTGGGTCACCAGGGGGGAGGTGACACCCGTGAGTGCCACCCCAGAGTGGAGAGCTGAGGCTGCGCACCAGAAGGGACGCGGCACCCCCTTGTGTAGGGTGTGGGGTTCCTGAGACAGCAGCGGTGCCCCGCGCAGTCCTCGCCCCGTGTGGTGACGAGGCTGTGTGCTCCTCGTGGTATAGCGAGCTACGGAGGTTGGGGTGAGGGAACACCAGGAGGGAGCCTGGCTCCCGCATGGCCAACACAAAGAGAGACGCTGCCTGCAGTCAGGAAGACGGGATTGAACATCCGCTCATGAGGAGGAACAGCCCCTTCTTGAGCTGTGGTTGTGCCCCGCCCCCAACCCTTGTCCGCAGTTTTAGTCACCCACGCTCAACCGCGAGTCGGAGGCAGATGTCCTCCCTGTGACGCGTCGTAGCCCAGCGCTGTGTCGCCTGCCCACGTCGCTCACCTCCATCTCCGCACGTAGGCAATCATCATGTCACATCCTCCCGGGGAGAAGGGTGAGTGCAGGCCAGGGAGAGCGGGAGGCCATGGTCATCTAACCTCACGGCAGTGCATTGTGATTGTTCTGTGTGACTCTTAGTTCCTTCCTGTGCCTCAGTCACACTTACACTCGATCACAGGTGTGTGTTCAGGAGAAGAGTTAGCACCTAGAGGGTTCGGGACCAGCCGCGCTTTCAGGCATCCACTGGGGGTCTTGGAAGGGACCCCCCGCCGTTAACAGACATTTCTGGCTTAGTTATAACAGCAGCTAGATTTAACCCTATGAAAATGTCCCGTGAGGCACGGAGGGTACCTTACAGGAAAGATCGTTTGGTTCACGCAAGTAGCGAAGGTCCTTCAAACGCCCACGCGAGAGATCTTCCCCCACAGCCCCTCCACTTCCGATGTGATCATCTTCCCATTAGCAGCTGTGACCTCTGCCTACTCTGGATAATTTGGTGGTTTATTGATCAACAAACTACTCTGTTTAATCAGTTGAAATTACTGCTCCTAAAGGGATTTTGATGGCAGCCAGGGAAAACAACGAACTACTAGAGGTTACTGTAGAAATAACTAGTAATCACAGCACCTGGGTTCGCGGTGACCAGGCTGCCTCAGATTCCAGGGGTCTCTGTGCCCCACGTACTGGCTTCTGGGAGAAGCATATGCCTGAAGCGAGCACACCCGCAGGAGATGTGCGGCCACATTCCCACCAAAACGCAAAGTGAAAACTGCGTGCTCCTAGGGGACCAACCCCTGCTCACGCCACGCAGAATATCTGGGGTTGGGAAGATGGTACAGTTGTGTAAGTCTGCTGGTTACTCCCAGGTGACGGGGGACGTTAGCAGGTGTCCCCTGCGGAGTTGGCACCGATCGGCGGAGCTCACGTGCTGCAGGCAGCACAACAGAAATGTCACCCTGAGGCCCGTGCGGCGTGACGTCGGCCATATGGAAGGAAGCAGGCTCAGCCCTGGGGACAAAATGAAGTTTCAGGAAGCCTATTAAAAGAGCTGTCAACTCTCACCCACTTGAGTTGTGAGTGCTCGGTGATCTATCCTGCCTCGGTCGTCTGCCAGTGTTTAAAATGAATGCTGGCTCCAGGCCCTGTTACAGTGTGAATTTCTAGAAACACTCTCTAACGTGGGTCTTCACACAACGACGGGCCCGTGGTTGGGTGAGCGGTGTAGGAACTAGGAGAGCCGTCCTGCCGCGCCGTCTTCAGCGCCCGTTGTGCAGGGGACCCTCAGACCCGCTCCTACAACTCCGAGGACTCAGGAGAAGCCACGATACTCACGGTCCCGTTTGTCACGGGGAAAGCACACACGGGGCCAAGTGCCAGAGGAACGGCCTCCCGCGGTGTCTCCCGGGGGCGGCACAGACGCGGGCCTCATTCTCCAGCCACCCGGGAAGCTCCCCCGGGCCTTACTGGGATCAGTCACACAGGCTCGGAGTGCACACCTGGCACTGAAACCCACCCCCACCCCCCGCCTCTCCTCATCAGCCCCGGCCTTGTTCACACCCCTCACTGGCCTCCTTCGGCACTGACCCCCCCACTCCCCGCCCCGACTCTGCACGGCCGGCTCCCTCTGGCTTCCCTGCCCAAGCTCCCCATCCTGGCTGCCATCAGAGGCTGACTGCCGGCCGCCCCCTCCCGTAAGCTGCAGGACGGGGGTCTAGAGGTCCTCCCTCTGCAGCCTTGCCGAGCAAAGAGCCTGCGGCAAGTGGAGGGCCTGCCAGTACAAGGGACCTCATGCCCAGATGTCACGGCAGTTCTGCACCCGCAGATCACCAGACCCTACACTCCCAGCTCCTAGATTTTCCCTCCCTTCCTTTGTTGAAAACAGACTGCAAACCCCTATTTTGCAAAGAGGTTGTGCTACCAACTCTAACCTGGGAGTCTGAGGGGGACATAACTGCCTGGTGACCCCCTCCCGTCTGTAACAGTCACCCAGCACCCAGGCCGAGGGCCCCGAAACAAGTAAACTCAACCGCATCGCAACCAGGAGAGCCTCGCAGCTCTTGCTCGAGTCAGACTGGATTTCCGCGTCCTGCATCCCGAGGGGATGTAAGTGCCCGTCAGAAAGGTGAGCAGGAGCCCGCTCAGGAGCGGAGGGCAGTGGGGGAGGCAGCAGAAGTCCTAGCAGATCAGATCTCTGAGGCCCAGCCGGGCGGGCGGCCCCTGCCCCGCTGCTGGGCTGGAGGAGGGTCCACAGGACAGCTCAGCAGACTCAGTATCGGGCCCACGTCCCGACCCCCCCCACTGGTGCGCTTCCCTGTGGGGCCAGGTGAACACCACGTGCTAAGGTCCCACGTGCAGGACTGGCTCATCCTAAGACATCTCTATTTCAGTGAAGAAAATGGAATGATTTGCATCATTTTTTAAAAATCACTGACCCTTTGTTTTTGTCCTTATTTTTATCATTCCCAGCAAACTTTGGACACGTCTACTTCTGAAAAATCTTTATTGGTTTTCACGATTATACAAAAGTAAAAATTCAACTACGATCTGTAGGACTTTAAAAATAAATTTTAAAAGATTATGAAATAAGTGCTTATTTCAAAAACTTCAAGTTTTATGAAATACATGATTTGGAAAATTAGCCCTTTATAATCCAGTGCACCCCCACCGCGGCCCCAGGGTTATTGTTGTCCAGACGGCACGTTTCCTCGCAGACTGTCCCGCGTGCACGAACACGCACGTGCGACACACACACACAGTTATAAAAGCAGCAGGGCACACTCGGCGTGGTGAAGCCACTGACCACCTTCTGCACCTGACGCACAGCCCCCCGTTTCCGTACAGAAGCACAAAGCTGCTACACAGCTTCGCATAATGTCGATGGGTAGGACTGAATCGTGACACCTGACCATTGCTGATTTACGAGAACAGCAATTTCCTGTGGTTCAGCCCAAGACCACAGAGAGCCCTTCCCCTACGGACACACATGTGGAGGGTCTCCCGCTCTCCGCCATCATAAACGGTAGCGCATGTCCTTGCACGTGCTTTATGGAATACGAACATTTTACCCCAGATGGGCTACAATCAGAAAAGCCCAGAGGACAGAGCTCTGCATTTGCCGTGGGAGTGGAGACCCAGCCGGGAGCTGACACAGACTACTTGTCCCTCCAGCCAGCACCGCCACGTCTGGCCCGACGCCGTGTCAGTGGGAGGCCCCACCCTGCGTGCGCACGGCAGCGGGACCTTCGGGGCAGGAGGGGCCCCTGAGCTGAGGACAGGGCCTTGTCCCTGCAGACCCACACGCGTCCCGGCCACGCACCGAACTGGTCCCCTGGCGCTTGGGCTCTCAGAGGTGCAAAGGCCGATTCGGAAATGTAATGAGGACCTCTGCAGTGTTTCCAGGAGCCATCAGTAACAGCCACTGGAATCCCGCACACCCAGGGGAGGAGGCGCGTGCGGCCCGTCACTGGCACTTGCGGGCCGGCCGCCGCCTCTTCGGCTTCGTCTGCGGTTTGTAGATCCTGCGGGGGTCACAGCTGAGCTTGTGGGTGGTTTTCTTGTGGCAGGCGATGTGGACCAACTTCAGGTTCTCGGAGGTGAAGAGCAGGCTGTAGAAATACTCCCAGGCCACTTCTCTGCCGTCTCGCTCTGTAACGGCCTCAGCCAGCGCAGGGACCACCGTGCGCTTCTTTTCTATTCTGCAAAGGAAGGGAGAGCAGTCAGCGTGCACCCTCGCCGTCCCGCGCACCTGCCAGGACACCTACTGCGACAGCACAGGACACTCCATACGGCCTCCGCTCGGCCACTGCAGCTGAACCACGAACCGACGTGGGGGCCCACAGGAAAAGACACGAGCACAGTGGTGCACGTTTCAAAAGGAGCCACACTTGGAAACACCCGAAGGAGCCGCGTGTCCGGGACCCCTCATCTTGCTGTCGGCAGGAGGAAGACTGGGGGACAGTCCTTCTCGGGGGCATCACCGCACGCGGCCACGCCCGCCGGCCCGGCTTGGTCCAAGCAACTTGGCTTGTCTCCCGTAGAACGGCTGGGGTCGTGCACTTCTTTAAGTCCTGGGAAGTACGCAGAAGGAAAGGGGTGGGGCCCGGCGTCCTCAGTCCCTCCTCAGCAGAACCCCAGAAATAAAGCCTTCCCCCTCGTCCTCCCTGGAGAGTGTCGTGGTGAGGGCTGACGTCTGTCTTTCCAACCCTAGCCTCATGCTTGTGTGCGTCCACACTGCTTTGTGTAAGCCTGTTTCACTTATAAACAAACCATTCAAAGCCCGTGTACTAATGGGGACGGAAGCTTGCGGACCGACAAGAAGGAATCAGAAGTACCACAGCTGGAGGACCAAAGCACACAGACTCGTGTCCCCACGGCACAGAAACGCTGAATAAAAGGGAAAAGAAGTACATACTTGAGATCACAAGAAAGAAGGGGGGCCCCCCTGCCAGAAACAGAGACGTCCATGCTTGATCCGCAGGGGTGAGCCACCCTCCTGCAGCCCACTAGGGCTGTGGTCCAGAAAGGGGCCCAAGGGGAGAGCCGGGGAGGTGGGACGGAGACCCCACTGCAGCTGTTAGTGTGGGAAGGGAAGTGGCAGGGAGCCCCGGGCTCTGGGGAGGGAGAAAAAGCCACCCCGTCAGCTACCTTCTGCTGCATACCCAGCCCCAGAACAGAGGCCTGTGGGGGTCAGTGTGGCAGGGCTCCTGCTGACCCTGACCCACTCCTGTGGCTGGGCTGGCCAGAGGGCTGACTGGGGGCCGGGCTTTCTCCCCAGGGAGCCAGGTCAGGCCCCTCCCTGGGAATGGCAGCGCCCAGAGAACAGGCCCCAGCGTGCAAGCACGTATCAGGCCTCCGCTGGTATCCGGTCTGCTGGAGCCACGTGGCCGAGCCTTATTCAGTGACGGGAGGCGTCGGGAGAACCCACACGGTGCAGGGAGCGGGAGGTATGATTCGGGGAGCACCAACAGCATGACCACTTCCACAGTCACCCAGGAAGCCAGGACCCTCAGCTCACTGTTCACAGACACACAGTCCGACCTCACGCCGCCACACATGTGGGAGCCAAGCAAGAAATTAATACTCAGTTGTTTCAGAGCCACTGAAAGCCCTGGGTGTCCGGCGGAAACAAATGCAAAACCACTCTGTGGGGAAGGACAAGCCAGCACACACAGGACGTCCACAGAAAACCATCCTGCTGAGGATGAACTCGGAATCCAGACCCAGCAACGTCACCAGGAGCACACAGCAACGGGCAAGGACCCCCGAGAAAGACCCGGGCTACAGCCTCTGAGGCAGACCGCTGAGAGCTAGGGAGGGCTCCCTGAGACCTCTTCCGATGCCAACCGTAAAGTCCAGGGCTCCCCGAGACCACCCACAGGTTTGAGAGTTGGCTCAACAGGCTCAGACGCCCCTGGACACTGTTATGCTCACAGCTGTGGCTTATAATCATGAGAGGATGCAAATTAAAATCAGCCAAGGGAAGGGACTCACAGGTTAGAGTCCAGGAAAGTTCCAGATGCAGAGCTCCCGCCGCCCTCTCCCTACGGAGGGCACAGACCCCTTCGGCAGCGGTGGTGAGCACACGCCTGGGGTGGTGCCAGGCAGGGAAGCTTCCCCAGGCCTCGGTGTCCAGTCTTTGTCGGGACTCGGACACGTGGGCATGGCCGGCCACCCGATGAGGAGCCTCATCTCCGGCCCCCACGGGACCCACAGCCCCCACCGCAATCACACTGCTAGACCACGCAGCGAACCACGGCCCGCAGGGGAGCAAGGACCCTCACAGGCAGGACACTCCAAGGGCTTCAAGGTGACCTCCCAGGGGCCAGGGGCCGAGGCCACACCTCTCTTTGGACACAGCTCAATTCCTTACAGCCGTAAAACAAATATGCTTAAAATGAATAAAGTGATTTAAAACAGAAATAATAATGAAAAAGGCTGGCTTGGTCAGAAGGGCATGCGACTCTTGGTCTTGGGGTTGTGAGTTCAACCCCCGTGCTGGGTGTAGAGATTACTTAAAAATAAAATCTTTAAAAAAATAAAATTAAAATAAATAAAAAATATAATGAAAACAGACTGGTATGGAAAGGCTTGTTTTACAAAGAACCCAGAAGCACTTCCAGGAAGGAAATACGGACGTGGTGGACAGACAGGAGGCGCCCCAGCTGCAGAGGGAACAAGTGAATGAACAACAGGCAAGCGTCCGAGGCGGCCCGGGCGCGTCACAGACACCATGCTCTGGGGGCGCAAGCAACAGACGTAATTTCCCCGAGTTCAGGGGCTGGGGGACTGGGGGGGCCGGCCAGGGCGAGCTGAGAGTCCCTGGCTCAGAGAGGCGGCCTCTTTCCTCACGGGACAGTCCGGCAGGTCAGGCCTGCCCTCGCCACAGCCGCCCTGGGGACCCATCCCCAGACACAGTCACGCTGGCCGTCAGGGCTTCGACGTACGAATGCGGGGCCACAGCTCAGCCCGTGGCCGGACGTGGCCGGATGTGGCCAGGAACACCGCAGCAGAGCTGGAGTCTGAGCCGATGGAGCCCGGGGGAGCCAGGACAAGAAGGCCCAGCATGCAGCTGTGGAGAGTTCCAGAAGAGCCGGACAGGAAGAAGCCGAGAAGTCGTGACTAATAAATGCTCAGGAGTCTTCCAAAATCCAGGAGGAAGTTGTCCCAGAACAAGGAAGACAAGTCCCAGGCAGAACGTGAAGGAGAGATCTGCACCCTCACACGCTCCATGTTCCAGGAGAAAGCCGCTCGAGAGCTGCCACCGAAGAGGCAGAAAGCAGCCGACGCCCGGACACCCCGCTGTCCCGCCTTCCAGGTTCTGAAGGGGGACCCCTGACGCCCCAAACAAGCATGCAAGAGTCCAGGCTACAGGGACGTCTTCCAAGACGAAGAGCACAGAGCGCCCACAGACCCGCACGGAAGCCACGCGTCTGAAATCAGAAAGGAGGCCGGAGGTCAGACGCGCAGAGAAGCCGGCCGGGCTGCTGGAAGGCGTTAGTGCCGTATTCACAGAGAGAAACTACGACCGAAGCCACCAGTGCTCCCGCGTCTGCTGCCTCGTCTGCACTCCGCTCCAGGCTGGCCTGTCCCGCCCTTTAAAGCTGGGACCGACCCCTCGATCCATGTCCCCACGCCCCAGTGAGTCACGGAAAGTAGCAGACGATGAGCTGGAGAGCCAGGGGTCATCTTGGGGTGCTCGGTGCCCGTCAGAAGGGGTGAGACCCTGCGCCCTCCCTAGAGGGGAGCTCACCCCGTGGCTCAGGCACCAGGACAGTCCTAGTCCCCTGGAGGTGCGCCCCCCTTCCCGGCACCCGGGTAATGGCCAGTGGGGCCCGAGAATCTGCCTTCCTGACCAGGCCCCAGATGCTGATGCAGCTGCCAGCCCACAGACCACACCTACATGGCCCAGAACCAGAGACCATGCTCACCCCAGGCTGTCCTATAAACGGTGGAAACTTAGACCAGACACGCCTACCGGTACGGAAATGCAGGTTCCCGTGACATTCTCACAAATGTCCACAGAGTGAAGCGCTCACAAATGTCCCAAAGCTCATCCCCGTAAGCATAACGTAGGATGGAGAAGCACCATGCGGCATCACCACGTGTGACCCCACTAGGTCCGTTCTCAAACTCAGACCTCCAGGGGAAAGGCCTGGAGCCTGATACCTATCAGAAGGAAACGCACAAACCTCAGAACAGTTCCTGGGGGCGGAAGGGAATGGATCCAGAAGGGGTGGGACGGCAGCCTCGACTGTCCCCATAACGTCCTGTATGCGCTCAGTACCATCTGATCCCCAAAAGCGGTATGGCCACTTGAAGGGCATTGGAAGATCTCTGTCTTCATAAAGCAGAGACAAGGACGTCATTATATCCCAAGAAAGCATCTCCGTTAAGATAACACAATTTTATTTCTGCCGTTTCTTAAAATGAGCTCGTACACATAGAAAAACAATCCTGCTGGCCTTCACTCATTCGGGTGAAAGTAGGAAATGCCCTACATACTGAATCAGAGCTCCCGCTCTGAGCTCATCCTGGTTCAGGCAGGAGACCCCCCACCCCCACCCCACTGAGTGCGCCCACTGGGCCCCACAGATGGGAGCTGGACGGGATAGAGGGGGCATGCGCCAGGTCGCATGGATGTGGACGGGGCTCTGGACCGGCTCCTGTCAGAGCCTGCCACGGAGAAGGACACCTAATCACACAGGTTAGGAGCGTGCATCCGGCACCCCACCTCCCCTACACACTCAGGACGAGCTCAGCACAGGAAACACAAGGCAGCCGGCCAACCACGGATGCCACGGCACAGACAGGCCCCAGCAGCTGCTCTTCGGGTCCGCGAACTTAGCTCTCAACAACAAACAGCCCTGACCTCCCCGGAACCCGTACTCACATGTGGTCCAGGTTCCACGTGCTGAAGAGGACCCGGCTCTCCCTGTTACCGTAGGGATTGATGGAGTGTTTGGACGCACAGGTGTCCATGTCAAAAGGACCCTAGGTCAAAAGAGAACAAGGTCCACCAAGTGAGCCCAGCTCTTACCCACTGGTCTTATGTCAAGTTAGATGAGCTGAGAAGAAGGTCCCACCCGGTAGGGGATTCAGTCTGTTTGGGCCTATTAGGAATTCTGTCTTTGGGATGGTACGCCCTTTTCCCTCGTGACCCCCAGTATGATACTCCACATTGGCCATGGGGACAAGCTAGCTCCTGCTATTGTTAGGAAAGCCAGCTTCCCGACCGTGCACCTCCTGGGTCTCCACACCCCGACAGACCCACTGTGTCCAGCCCTCCCCACGTGCCTGCGAGCACACGCCATCACCCGCCCTCGTGGGAATGAAGGCCCATGGCCAGCGCCCACATGCTGGCTGCTCCCTATCTGCTCCACGTGCCTTCCCGGTATTTCCCCACAACCCCAACGCAGAGGCTGGGCATCAGAGACGTCAAATAGTCTGGACTGCCCGGCTTTGGTTTTCCTGTGGTCAGCGTTCCTGGCCATGTCGCACCTTCAGTCACTCCTTTCACAGATGTCTGCTGAGCACACGCCACGTGCCGTGACCCCATCCACCGTCCTGTGTTCCAGACACCCCCAAGGCTCGCAGCTCCCCAACAGAGCCCACTGCCCCCACTTCCCCACCCTCGTGCCCTTGCGGGGTCACTTGTCCACTCCCACTGCACTGTTCTAGGGCGTCACCTCCTCCCTGAAGCCCCCGGCTCACCCCACCCAGGACTAGCCTGTCCCCCGAGGGCCTGCACAGCCTCCCAGCTCCAGGCCCACTGCCCTCACTTGCTTACAGGCCTCGGGCCTCAAGCCTCCCGATGATGTCAGGCTGAAATCTTTTGTCTTTGCTCCTCCTCCGTGAAACACCTGGGCTCAGGCGACGCTCGGGGAGAGTACGCGTGAGGTCACTCAGAGGCTAACGTGCAGTTGGTTGGGAAGGAGCAGTGTTCTGCTGGTCAGGGCCCATCACCCACGGAAGGAACTGCCCAGGCAAAAGCGCTGGGAGCCCGTCTGTGGGAGGGAGGCCGCGCCGGCCTCCAGGGTCTGTACCCTCAGGCTACCAGTGGGGGGAGGAGATTTTACTGGAAATGCAAAGGGGCCCAGGTACTCGCCGGAGCCCAGGAGGCCAGGAAGGAGGCGTGGGCAGCAGAACGGCCCCTGCCCATCCTTGCAAAGGCCACCAGCTCCAAGCCCCGTGACTCATGACCCTAGTCGGTAGCCCGTTGGACAGTGGTGCCTCTGTAATTTCTCCGAGTGCCCGGGAGGAGGTCCAGAACGCTGCCTCTGGCCGCTGCGACCCCGCCAGGTCACATCTGGCCACAAATCCTGAAATCTGAGCTGCCATCCAGAAAGCTTCCCCGGGGGGCCACGTTTCAGCAGCTGTGACACTGTCCTTCTCTTATCTGCCCATCCCCCTCCTCCCAAGGGGAGCGAAGGGGAGGCCTCCACTCCCGGGACAACCGCGCACTCCCACCACATCAGCGGTTCTCAGACGAGGGCCCAGACCAGCAGCGCCACCAGGGACTCTGTCAGAAGGGCTTCTGAACCAGCAGCTGGGGCCGGGAAGCGGGGCGTCTTGTATCGACCGTCAGGCGGGGAAGGGGGTTCCAATTCCACTGCAGTCGGAGAGCCACGGGCTGAGCTGACCCTTCCCTCATGCCGACGCCCGGAGGGAAGCCAGGGGAGGGCTGGCTCAGCACCCGCCTGGGTGGCCCTGGGACCCACGGCGCACCTGGCAGCAGAACCAGCCCTCGGACGTGCAGAGCCGGCCGCCTGCCTCGGCGCCTCTGTCGAAGTAGCTGCCATTGTACTGCGCCGCCCTGAGCTCCCGGCACATGACGTCCACGATGCGGGAATACTCCTCCTGAGCCTCCACGCCGACCACGGAGGCGTAAGAGTTCACCTGGAAGAAACCAAGGGCCACGGCTGAACGCTGGCGCACGATGTCCCAAAACCCAGAGTCGGGCGGGCTCCACGGCCTCCGCCCCCCTGCCCGCACGCCCCGCGCTCCGACCTCTCTCAGGTAGCTCCGGATCCGGCTCTCGCAGCTGTACCTCAGGTACCCAGACTTACTCCTGAATCGAGACTCCAAACCTGCCAGGAACAGACAAGGGCCCTGTGGCGTCCGCGGCCACAGGCTGGGCGCACCGCCGGCCTCACCTGAGAAGCGTGCGGTGTCCTGCTCGCAGGCTCCGGTTCTCTCTGCCTGGAGAGGGTCCCCGGGCCCCCCACGTGGGCATCTAGAGGCCACCGAGGGCCTCTGCTCCTGCCCCCCAGCCCCCTCGTCCATGGAGCTGCTCTGACCGGCTTAAAGGCCGACCCCGAGGTGGACGCACCACGTGTCCGTGACCAGGTGACGGACAAGCAAACGTGGTCCAGCCACGCAGGAGAATGTGAGTCAGCCTGAAGAAGGAAGGAGGCTGTGACACACGGGACGACACACGTGGCCCGCGAGGGCACGGTGCTGAGTGAAACCGGCCAGGCTCGGGACACACCCTGTGTGATCGTGAGTGAGGGCCTACGGGAGTCAGATCAGAGACCGGGTGAGCAAGCGCGGGCTCCAGGGGCCGCGGAGCGGACGTGGGGGCTGGTGTCTAACAGGCCACGGTCTCAGTTGAGGAACGTGAGAAAGTTCTGGAGACGGATGGCGGTGACGGCTGCACGCCAAGGCAAACGTGCTCAACCCCATTAAACTATGCACTTACACTGGTTAAAATGGAAAATTTTATGTTACGTCCACTTTTCCCCAGTTCAGAAATAAAAAGGCCAGCCCCAGGGCTGCGAGAGCAGAGGAGCCAGGCAAGGCCCCGGCCCGGGAACTGCGGGGGGCCCGGCCCCCCCTGCAAGGCCGGCTCTGAGCCAGCCCTCCCACCCCCAGCCCCCCAGCTACCTTCGAACCACGGCGGGTCCTCGGCCCTGGTCTCGGCCGCGATGTTCTCGCTGACGGTGTGCAGGAGGTCGGCCAGCAGCTTCTGCCGCAGCGGGGCCTGCTCGTCGGAGAGCAGCTGCTGGGCGGCCTGGATGAGGCCCGCGTGCGGCTTGTGGAACGCGCTGAGGAGGCGACTGATGTCACTCACATCTGCCACCAGAAGGGGGACCGACAGAAAAGCGAGCAGTCCTTGAGGGCCACCGCGGGAAGACACAGAGCTGCCGGCCTTGAGAACGGGCTCTCGCACGTCCAGCACCTCCTCGCTTCTGGAACTGCCCAACCTCAGGGATGCCCTGGGCCCCAGGCCTTGCCCAGACACCAGCGAGCCGTTCCCCTGGGCCCGCGCCCGGGTACCCGCCCCGCAAGTGATGTGGGGTCGGATGTGGAGGGGACACCACCCAAGCAAGTGGCTGCCCTTCTCATCCCCAAACGAAACCTCCCACATCCTTGGGCTTCCTTCTAGACCTCCCTCTGGGTCTCCCCCCGACGGTGCTGCCCCCCCGGAAGCCTCCACACACACCCCTGCTCATGGCCGAGCAAGCACTGAGGACCCAGCGGACTCAGAGTCTACCAAGACCCTTCGTGACGCCTCAGCCATAAATGGCTGTGTGCACAAAGAACGATGCCCCACGCCCCAGCGGGGTCGCTCCAGGGACGAGGCTGTTCGGTGCTCAAGAATCAACCAGTATCGTCCGCCCTTGATGGACTAAAGAAAAATAATCCCATGATCACGTGAATCCGCTGATGCAGGAGGCTGCGGAGAAATTCTTCCAGGCCAAGGACTTGGTGAGAAGTTTCCAGACTTAGCCTGGAGAGCACGAGCACAAAAGGAAAGCACGGACAACGTGGGCTTCACCAAAATGGGAAACTTCTGCTCCGTGAAAGAGCCTGTTCCGGGGACGCAAAGACAAGCGACAGAGGAGGAGGAAAGCCCACAAGCCACACACCTCACAAAAGACTTGTATCCAGAACACATCATGAGAAAAACCCAAAACTCAGCAGTTAAAAACTCCAATGAGAAGACAGACAAAAGACAAATGGACAAAAAGACACTTGCCCAGAGAGGACAGATGGATGGCCGACAAGCCCAGGGAAAGGCAGCCACACCGAGACAGCCCTGCACACCCATCAGGGTGGCAGGGACAGAAGACAGCCACACCGCCCGAAGCTGGACAGGGGATGGGTGCTGCCACTCTGGAACACAGCCCATTTCTCTGTTTGAAAAAAAACCACTTGGGGCGCCTGGGTGGCTCAGTCGTTAAGCGACTGCCTTCGGCTCAGGTCATGGTCCCAGGGTCCTGGGATCGAGCCCCGCATCGGGCTCCCTGCTCGGCGGGAAGCCTGCTTCTCCCTCTCCCACTCCCCCTGCTTGTGTTCCCTCTCTCGCTGTGTCTCTCTCTGCCAAAAAATAAATAAAATCTTTAAAAAAAAAGAAAAAAAAAACACTTGATTGAGATGGGGTCCCCACCCCTCACAATTCACCCACACGAAAGGTACAACCCCGTGCTTCCTAGTTTGTGAGAAAATGGGCAAAGGTTATATATTCCACCGTGCGAATGCACACTTTGTTCACCCGTTTGTCTCTCAGGGGACACTATTCGGGGTTCCACCTTTTGGCCATGATGAATAAAGCTTCTCTAAGTAATCATGTGCAAGTCTTCGTGTGGACGTGTGCTTTCGTTTCTCTGGGGTGTGCACTAGGCGTGGGACTGCGGGGTCGCAGCTGATGCTGTTGACTCATGGGGGGGCCACCAGCCTGTCCCCACGGCAGCTGCACATTTCACACCCTCCAGCAATGGGCAAGCGTTCCGGTTCCTCCACGTGCTGCTCACCAGCATGTAACTAGCCCAGCGGGTGTGAGGGGACGCCTCCCTGTGGGTGTGATTTGCATTTCCCGGATGACGAATGGTATCATCTTTCCATCTTGTTTGCCATCTGAGTATCTTCCCTGCAGAAATGTCTATTCAGACCCTCTGCCCATTTTTAAATTGGGTTGTCTTTCACTGTTGGGTTGTAAGAGCTCCTTATTAACTCTGGATACAAGTCCCTTACCAGACACACGATTCGCGAATTCCTTCGTCCATCCTGTGGGTTGTCTGTTCACCTCGATGCTGCCACAAAAGTCTTACATTCTTAAGTCAAATGTATCTATCCTTTTTCTCTGGTTGTTCACGTTTTTGGTATCATATATAAGAATCCTTAGTCAAATTCAGGGTCATGAAGATTGACTGCCCTGTTTTCTTCCGAGGGTTTTAGATTTTTAGCTCTTGCGTTTAGGTCACTTACCGCATTTTGAGTTGATTTTTGTTTATGGTGCCAGGTGAGGGCCCGGCCCACTCTTCGGCATGTGGATGTCCCGTTGTCCCAGCACCACTTATTAAAGAGATTATTCTTTCCCCCACTGGATGGTCTTAGCGCTCTTGTCACCATCAGCTGATCACAGACACATCAGTTCATCTCTGGACTATCTTCTAGTCCAATGTCTTGACTACTGTTGCTTTGTAGTAAGTTTTTAAATTAGGAAGTGTGAATGCTCCCCCTATGTTCTTTCTCAAGATTGTTTTGGCTATTTTGGGTCCCTTGAAATTACATATGAATCAGGGATTAGAATCAGCTTGTCGGTTTCTGCCAAGGAACCAACTGGAATTCCAATAGGGACTGGGATGATCTGCAGATCAATTTGAGGAGTATGGACATCTTAACAGTGTTAAACCTTCTGACCCATAAACACAGTGTATTTTCCCATGCATTTAAATCCTTATTTTCTTGGAACAACATTTTATACTCTTCAGATTATAAGTTTTGCACTTCTTTTGTTACAGTATTCCTAAGTGTTTCATTCTTTTTGATTCTACTGTAAATATAACTGTTCCCTTAATTTCATTTTAGGTTATTCATTGCAAGTATACAGAAACAAAGTTGAGTTTTGTGTATCGATCCTGTATCCTGCAGTGCTGATGAACTCACTGATCAGTCTAAGACTTTTTTTTAGTGGATTCCTTAGAATATTCTATACACAAGATCACAGTGTCTGCGAATAGTGACAGTTTTACTTCTTCCTTTCCAATCTGGATGCCTTTATTCTTCTTGACTAACTGCCCCGTGTAAAACCTCCAGGACAACGTTAAAGAGAAGTGACAAGAGTGGACATCCTTGTCGTTAAAAATTAAACACACACTTACGATACGACCCAGCAACTGTACTCCTGACATTTGTTCCAAAGAAAGGCAAACTTATGTCCGCACAGAAACCTGTACCTGACCGGCCGTGTGGGCTTTATACGTAACAGCCCCACACTGGAAACCAAAACGTCTCTCAGTAGGTGAATGGGTAAACAAACCGTGGCACAGCCACGTCACGGAATGCCACTCAGTGACAAAAAGGAACAGACTACCGGTACACACACCACGTAGATGGCTCTCAGGGGCGTACTGCTGAGTGAGAACAGCCCATACACTGTGCGAGTCCATTTCCCTCATGGTCTCGAGATGACGTTACAGAGACGGAAAACACATCAGTGGTTGCCAAGGATGAGGGACAGCGGGGCTGCGAGGGGAAGGCATGGTTATAAAGGGGCAGCGTGCGGCAGAACTTTGTGGTGGGGGTGGGACGCTTCTGTACCTTGACTGCGCACACACAAGCCCACGCAGTGATAAAACGACACAGAACACATGCCCTGCACCAAGGTCAGCCTCCTGGTTTGGATGCTGCACTATGACTATGTCAACTGCACCCTTTAGGGTTCACTATCTTTGTAACTTCCTACGAATCTATCACTATTTCAAAATAAACAATTTAAATTTTTTTTAAAAGAAGTTTACCAAGTAAAAGGACTAGTGGTCTCAGTGGAGAGAGGGGGATAAAGTGCCAGAGAAAGAGAGACATAAAGAAAGAGGGAGGGGGAGATAGGGAGAGAGGGAAGAAAGAGAGGGAAGAAGAGAGAGATAGAGGGAGGGATGGAGGGAGACAAGGAGGGGGTAGGTGGGAGCGGGGAGGACAGCAACCCAGCCTGGTCTGCTCTCAACTACATCATGAAATGGGAAGGAGAAGGAACAGCCAAAGATTCTTAGGACCACAACCCCGTCCTGCCCAGTCCCCACCTCCTGCAGGAGGCCATCCCAGGTGGCATCACGGTGACTCTGCTTTCTGGCTGCCTCCTCTAGAAGGACAAGGCCCCACAGAGAAAGAGCACGTGCGACCTCAGAGCACGCACTAGACATGTGACCCCTCACTGCTGACAGCAGAGTCCCAACGGCAAGGCAAAGCCACACGCACACTACTCTAGGGCGTCCTTCTGGACCTCAGGCCGAAGAGGTGGCTATCTCCACCCTCCGGGCTCCCACTTCCTTCCCCGGGCGACAGAAGCATCTCCTGAAATGTAAGCCACTTTGCATAAGAGCCACACAACCCTCCTAGGAGGAGAGCACACGCGCTTTGCCACTGGCCTACGGCTGCAGTGTGGAACCTGTCGTCCAGCTGGTGCTGAAATACAGACACCCCTAAGGAACCACCCCTGGAAATAATTGCTCTGATAAGGCCCCCAACGCGATAGCACGCCAGCAAGCACCAACACAGAACAGACACTGAGCACAGCTCCAGCCACCCTCGGAGCCACATGGAAAGGCGTCCCTCCCGCTGGCTCTGCCTCGCCCACAAACCCGTGCAGGCCCCAACCCCCCCAGCCCCTCCCTTCTGCCCTCGGGAGTTACCAGGACAAGGAACAGAAAATTTAAATAACTTAGAAAAGAAGAAAAGACACCTTAAACACCCAGCTGGACCACTGGGGTCCTGGGCAAGAGGAGGGGCAGCTCACCCTGATGCTGGGGGCTTCCCCCTCTGGAGTTCCGGGCAGGAAGACCCTCCCCTTCCCCCCTTCCCAGGCTGGTGTCCATGGCAGGCCCCCAGCACCTCCAAAGCCAGTCTGGCTTCCCCGCCAAGCTCCCACGTCCCCGCCACTTACAGCCTTGCCAGGTCTGGCCCGAGGTGAGAAGCAGCAGCTCCGAGTTGCCAGGGACACCCCAGAAGTAATCTCCGGTCAGCTCCGTGCCATCCTCGTAGAGGCACAGGCGGGAGCCGGTGACAGGGAGCTGCGGAGAGGGAGGGCAGGGCAGGATGCTCCTGTGCTGGGTCTCAGGCAGGCCCAGTAACCTGAGCCTTTCCGTCTGCGGTCCTCACAAACGTTTTAAAGAGTCAAGAGCGGGATGCTGTCCACATTCTACAGGTGGACGAACACCTGAGACAGGGCTGGGGTCTCCAGTACCCACGTGTCGAAACAGACACCTCCTGCAGGTCGTTCTAACATACAAGTCGTGTAAAAATGTAGACACAGCGGGGACGACTTTGCAGAATTCACCGCACAGACCTTTTCGACAGGAGCTCCTGAAGGGCTCTGAAAATCCCAGCCTGTTGCAGAACAGGCGGCTGACTGCTTCCGCTAAGCGCATAAACACATCCCCATCAAGAGCGCACATCCCCTGACTGGTGTGGAGACACACCACTCGGCGCACTCTGCATCCTAGGCGATGACTTATTAAGGGGAACATCTGACTGAAAAGGACTCACGGCCTCTGGCTGACAGGGCGTCACCGGCACGCGGTACCACTGGTCCGGTACACTTGCTGGACTCTGATCAGCTTTATGGACGTTGATGGCAAGTCCGCGCGCACCTGCACCCACCCACACCCACACCCACACCCCACGCTGCTCCGAGTCCAAGTCCAGCCAAGAAAACAAATGCGTAAGAATCCAGCAGGGACGATGACTGGAATCGCTGGAGCAACAGCGCTAGAAGGGCCTTCGTGGGCCTCTGAGCTCAAGTCCTTCATTTTACAGAGGGGGCAAACCGAGGCCAGACAGGCCACGGGGCTGTGTCCTGGGGCACACAGCAAATTAGCAGACGTGCGCTAGAACCGGAGTCCCAGGATCCCAGGCCAGGGCGGCCGCGATCCTCGTGGTCGGAGAGGGACGACTTGTCCCAGAACCGCTCCACCAAGTCCCGCTGAATGGGGCTCAGCAACTAGAGGACGACGTGAGAGGCGGCGCCCGGCCCCGGCCCCTGGCCTCGGGCAGCTGCACGTGCAGGCGCCCGGCACTCCCACTCCCGCCCCGCGCCAGGCACCTGAAAGTGGCGGCACCCCTTCTGCAGCACCTCCGGGCAGCTCCACCCCGCCACCCCAAACTTCCTCTGGCTGTGCAGAGCCCGCAGCCTGAACGTCTTGGGCTTCCGGAGCACCGCAGACATCCTCAGGGCCTCCGACCCGCCGGCGGCACGTGCTTGGCGGACCGCTCAGGCGGGTCCTCGCCCAGGCCGCAGAGATCAGCCGAGCGGCGAGGGTCCCGCGCCTTGTGGGCTCTGCTGCGGGACCAAAGTCGCGCGGAGTGCCCCGGAAACTCCATTACCCAGAAGGCCCGGGGAAGCGGAGGCGCGGCCCCGCCTTGTGCGCAGGCGCCGTCCTCCAGAGACTCCATTACCCAGAGGCCCGGGGAAGCGGAGGCGCGCCCCGCCTTGTGCGCAGGCGCCGTCCCCCAGAGACTCCATTACCCAGAAGGCCCGGGGAAGCGGAGGCGCGGCCCCGCCTTGTGCGCAGGCGCCGTCCCCCAGAGATTCCATTGCCCAGAGGCCCGGGGAAGCGGAGGCGCGGCCCCGCCTTGTGCGCAGGCGCCGTCCCCCAGAGACTCCATTACCCAGAAGGCCCGGGGAAGGGGAGGCGCGGCCCCGCCTTGTGCGCAGGCGCCGTCCCCCAGAGATTCCATTGCCCAGAGGCCCGGGGAAGCGGAGGCGCGGCCCCGCCTTGTGCGCAGGCGCCGTCCCCCAGAGACTCCATTACCCAGAAGGCCCGGGGAAGCGGAGGCGCGGCCCCGCCTTGTGCGCAGGCGCCGTCCCCCAGAGACTCCATTACCCAGAAGGCCCGGGGAAGGGGAGGCGCGGCCCCGCCTTGTGCGCAGGCGCCGTCCCCCAGAGATTCCATTGCCCAGAGGCCCGGGGAAGCGGAGGCGCGGCCCCGCCTTGTGCGCAGGCGCCGTCCCCCAGAGACTCCATTACCCAGAAGGCCCGGGGAAGGGGAGGCGCGGCCCCGCCTTGTGCGCAGGCGCTGTCCCCCAGAGACTCCATTACCCAGAAGGCCCGGGGAAGCGGAGGCGCGGCCCCGCCTTGTGCGCAGGCGCCGTCCCCCAGAGACTCCATTACCCAGAAGGCCCGGGGAAGGGGAGGCGCGGCCCCGCCTTGTGCGCAGGCGCCGTCCCCCAGAGATTCCATTGCCCAGAGGCCCGGGGAAGCGGAGGCGCGGCCCCGCCTTGTGCGCAGGCGCCGTCCCCCAGAGACTCCATTACCCAGAAGGCCCGGGGAAGCGGAGGCGCGGCCCCGCCTTGTACGCAGGCGCGGCCTGGCCCGGCCGGCCTGGTTGTCATGAGAGCAGCGGCCGCGGCCCTGGCGCTGGGCGCAGGAGGCCGGGGCTGCTCCTCGGCGGCCGCCGCCGCTGCGGCTCGGGGGTGCGGACCGGCCGTGGACGGCGGAGGAGGCGCCACCTGAGCTCCGGAAGGCGCTGCCGAGGGCAGGCCGAGGGCCCTGGGGACCGAGCAGGCGCCGAGGTCCGGGCGGGCCTTCGGTCCTGACAGGTACCCCGAGCCCCGACAACGCGCGCACCCGGGATTCGGGGCCTGGCGGGTGTGGGCGCGGCCGGCACAGTCGGGGGCCGGGCTGGGCCCAGGGCGCGGGGCCTGCCGGGGTGGGCGCGATCGAGGGGCGGGGGTCCGGCCGGGGGCGGGAGCTAGTACGCAGGGCGCCCCTGCCGCGGAGGGCGCTGCCCGCCGCAGCCCAAGGTCCGGCCGGCGGTGGCCTCCAGCCCGCGCCGGGTTTAGCGCCGGGTGCGGTCCGCACGTCCGGACCTGCCTGGTCCGGGCGCCCAGATGACCCAGAGCCCTACCTGAGCCGGGGGAAGAATGTGGCTCCGCCCCTGTGCGGTTCAGCGTCTCTCCACCCCCTGCCCCCCGTTTGGCACCTATTCAGCTTCAGACAGGCCCCGCGGCACTGCCAGCCTTTAAGATTACTTGACCAAAAATTACTTGCTCGTGTAACATTTACGTTTTCATAAGAAGAAAAAGTGGAAACAAGGTTTGTCTCCTCGTCTTGTAGCAAAATTTGGGAGGTCGCTGAATTGTTGCGGCTTAATTCAGAGATGTCAGCAATCCTGATACGTAAGTGGAAAGGTACACGTCGATGGACTTGGTGCGGAACCCGCGAGCTGCCTTGGTCCGTGCAGGCGCCCGCGTAGCGTGGAAGCCGTGGGCAGCGGGTGCCGCCTGGAGGCCCGCACGCGGACGGCTGCGTATTCAACAGAGCCTTGATCTTCCCCAGAATGTTAGTGGTGATTTTGCAGGCCACGAGTAGCATCCTTTGGTGACACCGCAGGTATCATGTAACACTCTGGAGGGTCTCCTCGAAGGGGACCTAGAGGACAAGGTGGAAGAGCTTTGGAAGAGGGTAGCCAAAAAGGAATCCCTTTCAGCTGCTTGAAGTGAGACGATAATGTTGTCTCTACAGCGCCCAGGCATGTCTCCTGCCTGGTTCCTAAATGCCAGCACTTTGTTTGGGATTTTTGAGGCGGTATAGTATATGGTCACAACCTTTGGACTTCAAAGGTCCTGTTTTAAGGCTTAGAACCGTAGCAGAGGGTTTTGGTGAAGATCGGAGGCTCTGGAACCCAACCAGCTAAAAGCACTCTGGCTCCGTGGCTTACTAGCTGTATAACTTTGAGCAGGGGCCTCTCTGTACCTCAGTTTCCATGTGTCTAAAGTTGTGTGACAACAAACCTATATCACAGATGTTACGAAGGTGTAAGTATGGTCTAGGGCTGAGGACGGTCCTCGGCACACAGTAAGTGCTTTAAAGGTAGTGTCCATCTGCAAGCGAAACTACTATGTAAAGGAATATATGTCTAAATACAAGAGGGGCAATATGAATGGTATTTCAGATTTTGGAATTTCAAGATATACTTACATTCAGTTGAAAATATTTAATGGGGCACCTGAGTGGCTCAGCCGTTGAGCGTCTGCCTTCGGCTCAGGTCATGATCCCAGGGTCCTGGGATCGAGCCCCGCGTCGGGCTCCCTGCTCTGCGGGAAGCCTGCTTCTCCCTCTCCCACTCCCCCTCCCCCTGCTTGTGTTACTGCTCTCGCTGTGTCTCTCTCTGTCAAATAAATAAAATCTTAAAAAAAAAAAATTTAATAAGGGCGCCTGGGTGGCTCAGTCGTTAGGTGTCTGCCTCCGGCTCGGGTCATGATCTCAGGGTCCTGGGATCGAGCCCCACATCGGGCTCCCTGCTCAGAGGGGAGCCTGCTTCTCCCTCTCCCACTCCCCCTGCTTGTGTTCCCTCTCTCGTTGTCTCTCTCTCTCTCTCTGTCAAATAGATAAATAAAATCTTTTTTAAAAAAAAGAAAAATATTTAATAGATGCCTACTAATTTTAAGGTGGAATAGAAGTAACGGGCCCTGCTCTTAAAGATGATTGAAGAACTTGAGAAATTCAGAGCAGAGAGCTAGAACTAAGCTTTAGTTAAGTTTGGCTGGACTTCAGAATTCGAACAGCAGATTGGGTCAGGACACAGTTGATCCTTCACCTCTGGACAGGGAGCACATCAAGAGCTCTGAGATTGGGACACAGATACTGATGACCCCAGTTGGACTTGAGGAGGAACACAGGACAGTTGGGGGGAGTGCTCCAGGTGGGGAGACCTGGCTACAGTCCATGGTCATCCTCTAGAGAAGACAGTGGGATGGAGAAGAGTGGATTCAATCATAGTCATCTGAAAGGCAGGATCAATGAGACTTCGCACATGATGGATGGGAGTGGGGAGGAGGAGGTGCAGGGTAAGTCCAGGCTGAAAGCCCAAGCTCGTGGGAGGAGCTGCAGGGTGCGGAGGACAAATCCCATTCCTGGTGGGAGCACAGGTGGGGTTCTGCATCACACCTGCATACAATCACACTCATCCAGTGTTGGTGCTTGCTGTTTTATTCTCTGAGTGGGTTTACTTTAGCGTTCCTCTGATGTACCGTGGCATCCTTCAGCGAGCTTGTTTGTGTCAGAAATTACAATCTTTAATAATGGTTTCTTTATTCTGTTAGTAATGCTTTTGTTCATATATTCGAAGAAGCATTGGCAAGTAGCAACCAATAATTAATTTATTGATGCAGGTCATTTGAGGTTCTGAATGAAAGTAAGAGATCTAGATCATGCATCAAGCATATTAAAATAAGCAAAATCATGCAGGATATGTTTATGTTACCTCCTATTCAGGATTACAGTTGACAGAATGTCCTATCTCAGAGAACTTTTTGGAGAATTCTTTATTTTCTATCTTAGTGAGGGGGAGTTTGACTGGCTCGGGAACTGGAAATAACCAGAAGTTTATGAGTAGTTTGGGCCTTAAATGTGGCTGAACCTCAGGGTTCCCAAGGTGGCTGTTTTCCCCCGTCAGCCTGCTCTTTGGCAGGACCTCCCCACTGGTGGCCGCCAGTAACCGCCCGGAAATACTCTATGGCTACAGCCCCAACAAGAAGGCTTCTCTTTCCCTGTAGCCCCAGCAGAGTCCAGGGATAGACCACACTGGTCCCGTTTGGGTCCTGCTCTCGTGTTCCCATCCCTAAACCGGCTGCCGAGGAGGGACATGGAACCCACAGACTGACAAGCCCGGCGCGGTGCGGGCAGAAACTGCAGCTGAAGTGCTGTTCTCAAACCAGGACGGGATGGATGCCGAGCAGGCAAAACCAGACATCACAACATCCATCCTCAAAATGATACTCAACTATGAACAGTTTACCAAACAATGACAAAAAATTCATGCAACCAATATATAAATATCTCAAGCAGGCCCCAGGTGCACATCTCCGCCCCTGGCATATATCTCCCTATAGTCCTGCCTTCCCTGCTCGGGTCATGCATTTGCATTCAGCAGTTACCATGCTGTTGATTAAACTGTCCCTTTTCCTCTTATTTTTGTATAATTTATTAGCACACTGATTATATTAGTTTCTTAGTAATTATAAAAAAAAAATTTGGTGTTTGTATCTTAACAAAACTCTTTGGTTTTGCCATAACAAAGTGCCACAAAGTGGATGACTTAGAACAACAAAAATGTACTCTGGAGGCTAGAAACCCACAATCAAGGTGTCAGCAGGGCCTTGCTCTTTGTAAAGGCTCCACGGGAGGATCGTTGCTGCCTCTTCCAACCGTCTGGTGCTGACAGCAATCCTTGGCATTCCTGGGCTGGCCTCCTTGTCTGTGTGCCTGTCTGTGTGTCTCAGGTGGACACCAGTGCTTTCATATCAGGGCCCACCTACTCCAGCACGACCTCTTTCCTCTTCACCCCATTACATCTGCAAAGACCCTGTTTCCAATAAAGCTCATATCCACGGGTACTGGGAGTTAGGACTGCATCCTCTTTTTGGGGGGAAACCATTCAACCCACAACACTGGTCAAATTTTCAGGACATATATTTGGAAAAAGTCAAGATAAATGGTACCTTAAGTGGAGTTAGAGGCTCCTAGGAGAAACACTTAACAAAAAAAACCTGGATCTTTTCAAAGTGATAGGAAAATTCTGATACCTTGTGAATTATTTTGTCTGTGAGCAAGGCATGAGCTAACGTGTTCAATGTTGTAAAATGTTACCAAGTTCCTTTATCTTAAAGTCTTTCCTGCCCTATAAACAGCCCAGTGCCCAGGATGCCCCACAAGATTGGCTTCGTTGTCGTCAGCTCGTCTGGACACGAAGATGGCTTCAGCGCCCGGGAACTGATGATCCACGCACCAACCGTCGGCGGGTGGAGGTCACCGAGGTGGGCCAGGCTGGGGCAGCGGGCTGCCTTCATTGGACGCTTCTGCTTTGTATTACCACTCAGGCCTCAGAGCCACGCACTCCTGTGCGGTGATGGGGTGTTGCTTCCTTCTCTTTACATTTTAAAGAAAACTTGTTGGACCTTTTTCCCTGGTAGCATTAACTGACGTTCACTTAAGAAACGTGTGCAGAGGAGGGGCAGGAGGAGGGCCCGCGCAGCGTTGTTTAGCTGTCTTCCCTGGCTGCCCGCTGGGCCTCCCGTTCCCCCCTGTGTTCTGGGCTGAGCTCCTTGGTGTCACAGCTGTGCTCCTGTGGGTAAGATTTTCGTGAACCCCAAACTTTAACCAACAACACCTCTTTCAAATGATTATCTTGAATACTTGTACACTTTTAAAAATGCCCGTTACTTGCATAACATAATACTAGTTAGTATTTTTCTGAAACTAAGCCTTTTCCTGAGGGGTCTTCAGTCTTCGCCAAAGGTAGAGTCACAAGCGGTCAGGAGCCCAAGTGCCTGATCAAGCTTCCTGCCCGTGGGGCCGGCTCCCCACCCCGGCGCACCCCCTCCCCGCGTCCCTGCCTCTCACGCTCCCCACCATCCCGTCACCTCTTAGTATCCCTGAAGGACAGCTTTGATGCGTGCTTGAGTTCTGTAAACTACATTTGAATAACACAGTCCCAGGCCCGTCTTCTGAAGGATTTTAAAAAACATAATACTTCCAAATTTTGTCCATTGTCTTTTCTTCAGACCACTTCGGAAGGGTTTTTCTCGTGATCGATCACCAAGTGTCTTTGTGCCTGGAGTGACCTCACCAGCGGTCATAACCTACGGGCTCGGCATTTGAGAGCAGTAAAGATCTTCCACACCTGGAGCCACGCTTCACGGCCATGGGGGACTGAGGCGTGCCCGCGTCACAGCCTGTCCTAGCCGCCCTCCTGCCCCACGCGCATCTCTCCTACGAGCTGTTCATCTCCGAAAAGCCCGGGCGACTGCGCCTCTGAGCTGAGAGTCCCTCTGATCTGAGCTCACTGCCCTCTCCTCACCGCACACCCTCCCCCAGCACCCCTGCGCACCCCTGCGCACCCCTCAGTTGGACACAGAGGCTGCGCAGATTGTCGTGCGCTCAGCCTGCCGTTCCTCTGCGCGCTCTTTCCTCCCTCGTTACTGTCCTGTTGCTATGAGGCCGGGCACTCGTTCGCAGCAGGGGGTGAACAGGGCCCCGGGGGTGGCCGTGCCTCTCCCTGGTGGGCACAGCAGGGGACGAGGAGATTGGCTCCGAAGGATCGGGGAGGGTGGCTGGGGTCAGGAGTTTGTTTTGTCTGTCATAGCTAATGCCTATCGTGTCTGCGTGGAAAGGTCAAGTCACCAGCTAGATCACGGCTTGGACTTGGGGTGATGTCTAGTTGGGGTTCCTTGACAAGCAGGAGGGTTTTAAAGCCAGGGTCTGATAGGCTCCCCCATGGTGAATGTAGGGAGAGGAAGGAGCCTGGAGCCCAGCCCAGAGGCAGTGCAGGCCTGGATGGAGGGGAGGGCCCCCTACAGTCATACGGGCTCAGGCCTGTGGGCTGGGTGAAGCCGGGACCAGGAGGTACACTTGTACACAGCATCATGGGGCCCAGCGGTGGCCGTGGTGAGAGTAAGCTGTGGAAATATGGGCCAAGCACCCTGGAGGGGCTGGGGAGGGGGTGCATGAGAGAGCTGTGCTGGTTTGCCAAGTGCTGGCATGGGAGCCAAGAAGGATGTGGGGTCACAGGAGGGGTTTCTTAAAATGGGGGGTTCTAGAGTGTGTGTGTGTGTGTGTGTGTGTGTGTGTTGATGGGAGTGATGGGGAGAGAAAAGCCTGGGTGGGGGCAGGCAGGCTCTGGTGCCATTCAGGGGAGTGAGTGGGGGATGGGGCACCAGCAGGGATGCTGCTCCTTTCGGGGAGCAGTGGGAACAGTCCCATTTGAGGCCAGTTTTCTCAGTGGAGTGGGGGGCTGCTGGGAGAGGTGGCAGGGGGTTGGAGCATGGCCAGTGGGCAGGAGTGGGCTCACCCACAAGGCCGCCAGGCCCTTTCCAGCTCTTCCATCCTTGGCTGCTTCCCGCTCCCAGGGCCTTCGATGCCCTACTGTTCTAGTAACCCAGCGCTTGCCAGCTCAGCGTACATAGTATCCGTGGTCTGAGCACTGTGCTCTGTTGCTCGGTCATGATCAGATCCTGCAGCCGCGGTTCTCCAACCCGTTCTCATGTGGGTGGTTGATGTGCTCTGTCACTTAGAAGGCAAAAACTAGAAGCTCCCCTGTGGACAGTCATAGGCCTCTCCTGCAGACCCCTGAACATGCGTGGTAGGCACTCATCACTCAGATTCCCTGAGCAGGTGGCTTTCCTAAAGCATTTGGGTTCCTGGGCAAAATCCTTTGACTCTGTCTTTCCCACCAGTGCAGCCTCATCTTAAGATTGATGTTTTTATCTTGTGTTGAACTTCATTTGAAACCGTTTCATTTCAGACCATTTTCCAGTTGCCGAAAGCATCGGGTGGCAGTCTGAACTGCAGCTTCAGCTCCACCAAGCGCAGGGCGCTGGCGCCAGCCCCTGCCGACCGCCTCGATGCGTGCGGGGTGCCGTGCACACAGCCGGGAACCCTCGCGGTAACTGTGTGACAAACACACGTGTTTGCTTTCAGATTTTGCCAGTTTCCACAAGAAATCGTTCTTCAGATGGTGGAGAGGTGTCGAATCAGGAAGCTGCAGCTGCTTGCCCACCAGTACATGATCCCAAGTAAAGTGGAGTTCTACATCAGCGAGAGCCTGCCCGAGTACTTTGTGCCCTACCAGGCGGAGCGGTTCCGGAGACTTGGGTAAGGGTGAGACCGAAGGCTCGTGATGGGAACTGTTAGTCCGACTCTCCCCGTGTCCGAGCGGCGGGAATGAAAGGACCACCCTGCTCCCGGTCCTGGTCAGACTTCTGTGGGGTCGGGCGCGCTGCCTCGTGGAGACGCGCTCGGTAAGCAGGACTGTGGGGTGTCAGTACCATTCGCCTCTGCTCCTCAGATGCACGACTTGTTTCAAGAGAACGGGTTAGAATACCGTTCCTGGGCTTCTCCCAAGGTTTTTGCATTCTAGACTTGACTTGGACTGAAACCCGTTGAGTTCAGTTTCGCTGCGCCCACGTTTTCTGTCAGCGTGATGCCGGCGTGTGCTCTCCCTTTCAGCTACATCTCTCTCTGTGACAATGAGAAGACAGGCTGCAAAGCCCGGGAGCTGAAGTCCGTCTACGTGGATGCAGTAGGACAGTTCCTGAAGCTGATTTTTCACGAGAACCACGTCAACAAGTACAACATATACAATCAGGTGAGATGCGCGCCCTCACCTTGACCGCTCCCCACCTCCTCGCAGCATCTCAGGACCCTGTGCCCCTTGGCAAAGGCATTTCAAATCTTTTTTTAAGATGGTAACTTTTATGGCAGAACGTTAAGCTCTCTGGGAGCCGTGTGGTGCGATCGGGAGCCACCAGCCCACGCGGCAGGACCACGCTGGGCGCCTGGCCAACCCAAGTGTGATGGGCCGCTCGGGCTAACTGGACTCTCCAACTCAGAAAAAGAATCAGTTAAGCAGTGAAATGATAATATTGTGGTGATGTTAGGTTTAAGACCAATGTCATCTGCTACTTTTTACAATTTTTTTACTGTGTCCACTAGAAAATTTAAAATTATCTACGTGGCTTGTGTTGTTTCTGTTAGGTGACACTCTTTCTAGATAAACCCGCTAAACTTTTGCAAGATAAATCCCCTGGTAAGACTTGGGGATGTGATTTCAAGTCCTCATTCTTATCTCTCCCTCCCTCCCGTCCCATCTTTCTTTTCCTTTTTCTTGTTTTTTAGTTTTGTTTTTGGCATGGTTCATGTAGTAAAAATCAGTTGTGTCCAAAGCAGGCTCTTCATTACCATGTATATTGACAACACTCCCCACCCCCTCTAAGAGGAGTGGAACATTCCACCAAATCAGAGTTTTATACCCAGCAAGTGAGTTGAGGAGAGCTCTGAGATGTAGTTCCGTTGCCGGGTCCGCCGCAGCAGTGCTTGACCGTGAACCTGAAGATTGATCCCTAACCTCTTTCTACGTCGGCCCCACCAGGAAAACCCCCTCACTTAGTTCCACCCCGCAGTGATGCTCAAGGGAGAGAGGGTGTGGGAAGGGGAGTCCTCCCCCTACAGGGGGAGCCACAGACCCAGACAAACTGAGCTGTGTTAACACAGGCTTTCATTCCATTGTCGCATTTACCAGGATTGAATAGAGGGGTCCCCATACTGGACTATGAGGGAACGGTTCGATGCGATGCTGTGTTAAAACTGTGGAGGCTTGGGGTGCCTGGGTGGCTCAGTTGGTTAAGCGACTGCCTTCGGCTCAGGTCATGATCCTGGAGTCCCGGGATCGAGTCCCGCGTCGGGCTCCCTGCTCGGCAGGGGGTCTGCTTCTCCCTCTGACCCTCCCCCCTCTCATGCTCTCTCTCAAATAAAAAAACAAAACTGTGGAGGCTTTTAGCCGTTATTGTCTTAATGTACTTTAGACGTTAAAATAACCATTTGATTAGTCATTAGAATATTAACTTACATAATTTACAAAAACTATAACAATAATTCTATAGCTTGACATTTTACAATTAAGGTGCTCTGGTGTACATCATCCCATTTGATGACAGTATGAGCAAGCAGTTTATAATAAAGGGGGGACGTCATCACAAACATTTTATACTTAATTTCGATTGGTTAACTCTTTCTTAGGTTGCTCTGGTTGCAGTAAATATCATTGGAGACCCTGCAGATTTCAGTGATGAAAGCAATATTGTAAGTTTGGGACGTTTCATTCTTAAAGAAGAAAATGTATTTCTAACAAGAGGGGATTGATTATTTTTGTCACAAAAAGTGTCATCTTTGAAAATCTTTATAAAATTGTTGAATAATTAGATAATTTTTAGCAGCTGTAGTGTATTAAACTTTCTTTTACTCAAGAATTTTAACTGTCTCTCCAAAAGACTAGGATTCTCAAAGCCCGCTGACATCTATATATCACGCCATCTCTTAGTTAAGGTTTCGTGTTGTTCCTGTTTTCCTCTGAGACACTAACCAGAACTTTTTGCTCCCAAAGACCTCTAGAGAGAAGCTGATTGATCATTATCTGGGGCACAACAGCGAGGACCCAGCTCTGGAAGGAACTTGTACTGGGTAAGAATCCTCCCCACAAGGCCATCAGCTCCTAGACTCCCCTCAGAATTGCCAAAGTGTGAGTCAGCTCTAGAGGATTGGGGGTTCGAGAGCCTCTAAATTCAGTTCCGAGCTAGTTAAGCCACTGATGGGATTGACTTAAATACACTTAAAGATTAAGGTCACTGTTTTACTTAGCACATACATCTTCAATTATTGCCCTTTGGAGACTGCTCCATTTCTTGTGTGTTCAGGTATTACTAGAAAGTTCCTACATGCAGGTAAAAGATCTATCGGTCATCCTTTGATATTTTATTGGCACAGACAACTTTGTAGGTAAGAATTAAAGGAATTAATTGACCCAGGTTATCAGTTACTAGAGCCTTCACCTTATGTCTGCTTTAAGCCCTCCCCACTCTCATCCAGCCCGTGATGGTGTGGCTCCCACCTCCCTCAGGCTGGGCCCTCGTGAAGCCCAGCTGCAGGCCCAGGGGAGGCTCCGCCAGAAGCAAGGCTCGCTGTCCGCTGGTGCGCACGCTTAGCTCAGCAAGTGGCTCCTGAGTGACCGCAGAGAGACTCTCTCCATATTTTATGCAAGCACGAGAGCCCGGCTTAAGACTGAAGAACTTTCTCATTGGTTTGGACTGCCTTGCTTCCTGTAGAGCCTCCCTGGGCCTCCAGCCTGGCTGTCACGGGGTGGATGTCAGTAGGGAGTGCTTAGAAAGTAAAAGCAGTCCCTAAATGTGTATGAAATAGTGAGGAAAGTGACCTCTCCCCTACGCAGCCCGTCGGTCTCCCGCAGACTCTCCCTGTGCCAGACAGGAAGAGCAGTGCCCTCCTTACCTTTCCAGGTGGGGACTGCCACACTGTCCCTCCCTGTCCGTCGGCACCAACCCCGGGACAGCTCTTTGGCTCTGCCCTCAGTGAAGCTCCAGCTGGTAGCACATGGGCAGCCAATCCCACTGGTCGGTTTTAGGATCTCCCACAGAAGCTCTTTGGGTTATTTGGACTCTTGTTTAAATCAGTTCTTCATCAAGTTAGCCACCTGGACTGGCAGACCGCGGTCTGTCTATCCTGACTCATCTGCAGGGCTTTCCTGAGGGTAAAGAGAGCCGTTCTTGGAAGGCTGTGTGTTGGGCCGAGCCAGGGTCACCGCGGGGGGGCGGTCGTGGGCAGGGCGAGACCGGCTCTTGGGAAGCTGCCCACGCACAGCCCTGGAGCCGTGACTCCCACGCCAGATGACATCATGTGTTTCTTTGTAGCATTTTCATAATAAATTCTTTGTTTTCATCTCCAGGACTTCAAGGCAAAGTAACTTTGACTTAAAAGTATAGTATGTGTTTAGGTAAAAATAGTTAACCTTGTGCCAGTACCAAAGCGTGTTGCTATTCGGTCCTCACTAATTGATATTGTTCAAAGCTGCCCAAGCTGAGCCAACCCCAGGCCCGGTGGTGGTGCTGTAAGCAAACAGCCTGATTTCCAGGAGTCGGGAAGTGTTGGGGGGACGTTTGATCGTTCTGAAAAGTGATGTTGTCATGTGTCCTGTTTCAATTTTATTTTTAGACAACCAAATTTTTTATGATAAATATTTTCATTAAAATTTACTTGTATATAAAAATATCTAAGTCAAAGCTAACACCTGGCTTATTTTATGTAGCTGGTATGGCAGACAGAGACTTTGAAATGTGTCCTCTGCCAGCATTTTTGTTGAGTGGTTAGGCATTATTCTAAGTGTTAGACCCAGGAGAAAGCTGCCAGCCTGCTGTAGAATCTGAAAGAAAGAATGAAGCGGTAATCAGGAATGGGTTACTCAGATCACTACAGAGATCTTTTATTCCTGGAAGGATTGTTCTGATCTACCCAGGACTTGGGATATCCTGCAGCCTGACCCTGTGAGCTGAGGCCCCGGCGTAGCCCGTGTGCATCTTTAGTGCTTGTCGTGCTCACTGTGGCGCTGGTGTTGAATATGGACGCCTGGACCACCTGGGGCCCACCAAGTCAGCCTCTCTAAGAGATGAGGCCTGGCAGTCTGCTTTGGCTGGGGCTTCCCCTAGTCTACAGATGATTCACAGGCACTGTTATGTCCCTGGTGCCCAGAACAGAGCTGGGCACAGAGTCCACACTCGAAGAACCAATGCCCCAAAGGCTCAGAAGCCCCCCGTGCAGTGTCAGTAATGGGCGGGAGCATGAGCTGTGGAGTCAGAGACCTGCCTGCACGTAAGAGCTGGGTGACCTGAAGCCCATCCCCGATTCTTCTGAGCCTCCACTTTCTCCGGCAAGAATGCTCCAGGAGCAGGTGTGGGGGGTGCCGTTGCTGCGACTCTACCTCCTCCGTCATGAGCCCCTCGGGCTCCCTCTGCCACCACGCTGTCGCCTACGGCGACATCAGCTCTAAAATACGCATTTCTCTCCTTCAGGAAATCTGACTATATTTCTCCACTGGATGACTTAGCTTTTGATATGTACCAAGATCCAGAAGTTGCCCAGATTATACGCAAATTAGATGAAAGAAAACGTGAAGCCGTCCAAAAGGAACGCTACGACTATGCCAAGAAGCTGAAACAAGCTATTGCTGACTTGCAAAAGGTACTGCTCCCGCAGGTGTGTGAGAAGGCAGTTCAGTGGTCCTGACCCTGGTACAGCAAAGGGGTAGGTCGCTAAAAGCTGTGGGTCCTAGTGTGGGTCCAAGGGGGTAAGCAAAATACAGTTACGGACGGATGAGCCCCTAAATAAAACGTAAGCGAAGGCACTCGCTCGGCCTCTTCAGACGTCACCCTCAGATGCCACACCGCCGCCCTAAAGTGCTAGAAAAGCATAAGATGTTTACCGTCCCTGTGGACTCGTGCAGTTTCTTAGCCGCCCCCGCGGGGCCCCGGCTCGGCCCGTCCTCCGCGCAGGCTGCGCGGGCAGCAGCCCCGTCACCCAGGCCGCGCTTCGCGCTGGCGCGGTGGGTGCACATCTGAAGCAGCGCGACCCCGTGTGCCTCAGGTCGGAGAGCGGCTCGGGCGCTACGAGGTGGAGAAGCGCTGTGCGGTGGAGAAGGAGGACTACGACCTGGCCAAGGAGAAGAAGCAGCAGATGGAGCGGTTCCGAAGCCAGGTGTACGAGCAGCTGCAGCTGCATAGCCTGGTGGACGGCGAGCCGGTAGGTGCCCGGGCAGCGGCCCTCGGGGCCGCGGAGACGCCCCACAGCGCCCGCGTGTCCACGTGCACGCGGCTCCGTCGCTCGCAGGTGCCGGTTCAGACGGGGGGCGTCAGCTGTGGGGCCTGCGTCGGGAGGCGCTGCGGGACGCGCGCTTGCAGGCAGACTCAGGGCGGAGGAGAGAGCGGACGGGCCGGAGCGCGGATCTCGCCCCTCCTCCCCGGCTCGGCTTCCCCGTTTGTACAGTGAACTGAAGGCAGCGCTGCCCCGCGTTCGCCCCACGAGGGCCTCAGGAGGGTCGTGTGCGGTGAATCCTAACGGCCTAAGCTTGTCGAGACCGTGTGTCCTGGGAGACGTTCCGCCGCTCACCTTTAGCCCACAGGCAGCCGGTGCGCACCCCACGTGGCAGAGTCGTGCGGGTCGGTGCGGACTCAGGAGCCTCACTGCCCGGGCTCCGGCCCGGCCCCTTGCCGGCGGTGGGATCCCCGGGCCATTCCTTAGCCACTCTGCCTCAGTTTCTGCCTCCTGGTAGAAGGGGTGTGCCTTAAATGAGAGCGTCTGTCCGGCACACTTTTCGCCCTGGCCGTGGTAACTATGTTGTGATGACACAAAACAGGCTGCTTTTACAGCCACAGGGTACGCGGCCACGCCAGGGTTGGGGTCCCGCCCGGGTGCTTCCTACCCCACGCACCACGTCTCCGCTGGCAGGTGCGTGTGCGTGTTTCCACACTGGGTGACCCAGGCACTGTGCTTGCTGTCACGCGGGCACTCCGGTGTGCTCTGTGGGGCCATGGCCACCATGGGGAGAGGGTTGAAAGGCTGCGACAGGACTGGGGGACACCGTTGATGCAGATTGTCACTCTGCCTTCCTGAATGGTCACATCCCACCTGTTGCCCCCAGGCAACAGCACTGGGAGTGAGGTGTCCCATTTTTCCCCAGATGCGAAGGCCTTCCGACTTGCCCGCCCAGCCCCTTGCTCACTCTGCCAGTCCTCACCACCAACAGCCAGTGCCGTCCCTGCTGCAAGAAGAAAGCACACCAGAAAGCCGGTTTGCAGAGCCTTTCCTTCAGGAAAAGCCTCCAGCGCATGCCCTGGGCCCTTCTCAGCACTCCACAGTGGACCCGTCACCACGCGCCACAGACCTTCATCTCAAGACCCATGTAGGTAACTCGGTTTCAGATTGTGTGCGGTTTATTCAGCAGACACATGGGGAGGACCCGCATGGTGCCAAGGCTTTCCCCATGCAGGGGATGGATCAGGGTACACAACGCAGAACCTTCCTGCCAGACATTCCAGGTGATGGGGGGTAAATGCCGAAGCCGGAACGTGGTGGCTGACGCAGCCAGCAGGTAAGACACCTCACTGGGAGGCCCTGTCTGCAGTCAGATGTGTAGGCCTCCTGCCTGCTTCTGCCCCATTCAGCCGGTGGTCCGGGACGCCCCATCCTTCTGAGCCTCTGCTTTCCTTTCTATAAAAATGTACAAATATCTGCTTGAAGGATTGTTTCCAGGAATAATAAACGAGACCATGTTTATAAAGTGACCAGAACGGACTTCAGTAGGGCCTCCATACGAGTCATGTATGGTTACCGTGCTTTGAGGATTTTCTGTGTTGTAAGTAGCAGAAGAGCTAGCTCAGACTGGGGGTCTCCTGCTGTTTGTCACTCGGGACTTGAGAGCTCATGTAGGCTTAAGGGTTCAGTAGCTTCACAGTGTCCTCAGCGCCCGCTCTCTTCCTGTCTTTCCACTCTGTTTCCTGTGGTTCCAAGTCACCCCAGAGCTAGAGCTCTCGCGTGTGACCCTCAGCTTCACGTCTGCACGTTGTCCCCTGAAAGGGGCAAGCGCGTCCCATTCTGAGTCACCGGTCACATGCCAGCCTTTGAGTGATGACGAGGACCAAAGGAGGCCTTCGCGGGGGCTCCAGCTGGCGGGCAAGGTGGCGCGGCCGGTGGGCTCTGGGGAGGAAGGCAGGGTATCAGGTGGGCACGGGCCCGTGTCTGCTGCAGCCTGAGGCCCAGGAAAGCCAGAGAAGACAGCACTCGTGCTGCTGGCCTCCCAGTGCACAGCTCTAAGGGTCCCTGTCATCCCCGCCGGGAGCATCTTGTCTGTGATGTCATTGCTTTAAGTCATATTCAGTACTTTGGTTTAAAATGGTCTTAACTGCCCCTTCGTCAGCACATCAGCATCTTTGTTTTATAGCAGAGTAGAGTTTAGAGTATGAGAACCTCACTTGCACACATAGTATGCACCGGCCTCTTCAGACGCCAGTTAATGTCTCAGTGGAAGTGACTCTGGAATCTCTCTTCCACCTAATTTCCCGAAAGTCTGCCACCTATGTACGTGTTCAGGCGTGCACCTCTGTCTCTGCATGTGGATGGAAGCCCCAGGAGGTGGGGGTGTCGTGTCGCCCATCACTTGGGCAGGGGGCCCGGCGAGCACCTGCAGGGCTGAGGGGGGACAGACAGCTGCCTGCCCAGAGCACGGGAAGGCTGTGGAAGGGTCGTTAGCTTGGCTGCCTGTTTTTAGTATGTGTCTGCCAGATAATGAACACGTTTGAAATGAGGCATGATACTTATTTCTAAGTCATAAACTAAGAAAAAAATCAGAAGTCTTGTCAGGAAAAAATAGCTTTTACTTTGTAAGCTACCTGTCCGCTGAACCGTAATTACTAGTGGTAAATAGTAACTGAGGCTGAATCTATATCGCTTTTCTGTTGGATCTACGGTGAGTTTAGAAAGGAGTGGAAACCGTAACCTAATTTTTTCAGTTGAATCCTCCTGTATAAATTATTCTGATCCGATACAACTACCATCGTGCAGAGCAGCAGGCCTGCAGTGTAGACGCGGTGTTGGCAGGTGGGCAGACCCGGGGAGCTCTGCAGCCGCCCTTCCTCCCCTGCAGCTCCAGTCCGTGCCCTACGACGAGCGGCCCCTTCCTGCCTCGCGGAAGCAGCCAGCAGTGGCCCTGGAACCAGAAAAGAGTGACAGTGATGTCAGCGAGGCTCCCAGGGGAGGTGCGGCTGGAGAGCCGGAGCCCTTGACGGAGAAGGCCCTGAGGGAGGCCGGCCCCGCCATGGACGTGCTCGGAGAGAGCCTGGTAGGCCGAGTGCCGCGGGCGGGTGTGCGGAACGGGGAGGAGGCAGGCAGGGAGGCGCCCTCGGCTTTGTCCGTGATCTTGTTGGCTCCCTTTTGGTCTCAGTGTTCAGTTGAAGTCGTTCAGTAATCATTAATTACACAAAACAGCAGAAACAGAAGGTAGAATTTAAGATTTTATGAATGCGTGTTCATTTAAGACTGGGTGTTTCTGTCTAGTACTGACAGAGCTGGGATTGAAAATCTGCCCCTTTCTGGAACACCTGCCCATCCCAGGGGAAATGGTGGCAAAGCAGAACAGAAGATGGGAGGGCCTCCGTATGGAAATGAGCCCAGTGGGTTTTCCCCTAGTTCCCAGCTTCCCAGTACTTCTCTTGGCGGAACTTCTCATATTCCCGTGTTTTTCGGGTCTTCAGTATTCCGCATTAGGACAGGCACTTCCTCAAACACGCATACTCATTCTGTCCCACCAGAGATTCTTCTCCGTGTGTCGGGTCGCACGGTGTTGGGGTGGGGTGGTGTCTGAGTCAGGCCGGCCTCCGGTCTGTGGTAGGTCGCGGGGGCCTATTCCAAGACGTGGTCGTACCGGGAGGACGCGCTGCTTGCCCTGTATAAGCGGCTGATGGAGACGCCTGCTGGAACCGCGAAGGAAGAGCTGAAGAGCATGCTGCGCGCGTCCATCTTTCTCGTGAGAAGAGCCCTCAGGGACATAGTGACCCCGGTGAGTCCCCTGTGCCCCCGGTGGCCCCGGGTGAGGTGCCGCAGGAGGTCGGGTGGCCACGGGGGTAGCACAGGGTGTCACTAGGAAGGAAGGGTCTCTCGCAAGAAGTGTGGTGGGCGAAGAGCCTGCGCGGTCTGTGCTCCCCTGGCCGCGCGCCCTGCTCTCCGACAGGGTCAGCCTCCCCGCGCCTTGAAACCAGGGTCCGCTGAGGCCCGGCTCACGGGCACTGATTAGGCGCTCGGTTTCTGTCTTTATTTTCCATGGAAGCTGAGGGGCTTGGGGTTACTCCTGGATCCCCTGACTGTGAAAGGGGCCGCAAGAGTGAGCACGCCCCGGGGGCGCACTGCCCGCGCGTAGGCAGTTAGGAGGGTTCGGGGTGTGGCCCCCAGGCCCACGCGGCTCTTTCCGTCGCTCAAGGTGCGGGCCCACGCCTTCTGTACCAAGGCCCTGTGTTTGGGAAGCGGCTTTCAGTCCGCCCTCACCAGCCCTCCGGCAGCAGGGCATCTCCAGCATAGTGTCCACAGTTGTTACTGGCGGTAAATGTTAGGTTTTCTCTGCTGGAATACAGTTACAGGAGCTCCTCTGCTTTTGCCGCTTTTTTCTTAGGTTTTTCAGGCTTCTTTGAAATTGTTGAAAATGATAATTACGCAATATATTCCTAAACACAAACTGGGTAAGCTCGAAACCGCTCACTGTGTGGAAAGAACCATCCCCGTCCTGCTCACCAGGGCTGGAGACTCTTCTGCTCGCCTCCGAGTCACAGCTTCCAATTTTATTCAGGTACAAATTTCACCATAAAATTTGAAACCGTAAATGATGAGCCTGTTACGACGCTACTTGACTTTCTGAATACCGAACCAGGTTCTGTCTCTCCTAATAGCGTTATTGGTCCTCCTCGTGACTCCCTGTCATACTTGCCTGGTGCTTCGAGAGCTGAAGTTTGCCTTCGATTAAAGTATAGTTTGACTTGTCTAGTATTTCTCTTCTTCAACGTATGCTAGTAACTTCTAGTAAAAATATACGGAAAACTAAACCAGAGTAGAAAACTGGGGGTAAAGAGATAATAAATGTGTAATGGCCTTAATCTAAATAGTTTTGTTCGTTCAACAAACATGCCTCCTCCAGGCCAGGTATTGTGGGGATACCGAGAGAGTTCTGGGAGCTCTGCCCTGACTGCGGCCCGTGCTTGGGCTTCAGCAAGTCTGTGGAGTCCTCAGATTCCGTACAACATTCTGTTGGGAAGGACTCCCTAGCTTTCCTAGTTTCTCAGGGGGGTCATTCGTCCAGTATGAAGAACCAGTCATCTCATTTCCTTTAACCTGAGTTCTGGGGCAGAATGAAAAAGCAGTACATTATATTAACAGGAAGGTGAAAATAAGTGATGCTCAAGTCCTACAAGATACTCCCTCTCAGTGTGGCTCAGTAAATCTGGGGGAGGTGGCATCTTTCAAAAGGAACATTGAAAATGAGAGTGTGTCAGTCCTTCATTTAGTCATTTATTTTTTTAAGAGAGGGAGAGGAAGGGGTGAGGGGGGGAGAGGGAGAGAGAGAGAATCCCAGGCAGACTCCCCGCTGAGCATGGAACCCAATGCAGGGCTCGATCCCATGACCCTGAGCTGAAATCGAGAGTCGGACACTCAACCGAGCCACCCAGGCCGCCCCCAAAACTGATTTCTTTCTATATTGCAACCCATATGCTTCAGTATTTTATCATTCCTCTTTCTGTGTCTGGCTGCTTAAATGCTAAATACCTTAATTGTAGAAAGACTTACTCGTTGGCAGTGGGACTTCATGCTCTCCCGTAAGCCCACCGGCGGTCCCATCAGCCAGAAACTGTGCACTGCGACCCTCTTGGCCAGTCTCATAAAGACTAACACAATACTCATTTGTTCTAGAATTTTAGAAATTAGAAAACCTTTTTCCTGAAGTGGGGAAATCCTGAGAAATGAAATCTTAAGTTTTAGATCACATTTCTTGTAAAGCTTTCATTTATCTGTGAGTGATCATGGTTTTATTTTTTATGATTTGGGGTTTTGTTTTTAATCATTATATCTTAAATAGAAATAATGAGGTTATTAGAGATAAATTATTTTACCGCTATTTTTTATTCCCTGTTTTTTCCTTCGATTTTTACTTTGAGGATTATACTGAAGTATACTAAGTTGCCTCTAGCATTTTCTAGTACAAATTAACACAGTTATGTTGGTTTTTATAGGAAATGGCCTTGTTCAAGGAGGTTAGGTCTCTCCAAATTATTCCATCTTACCTGGTGCAGCCATTAAAAGCCAACTCTTCGAATCATCTGGCAATGAGTCAGATAGGCCTCCTGGCCCGGCTTCTGAAAGACCTGGGCACCGGGAGCATGGGCTTCACCATCGATAACGTGATGAAGGTAAGCGCACCTCTGGTGCCATGTGGCCGAGCACTTGAGATGGGCCTGGAGCATGGTGGGCATCTACTCAGTGTTTGTTGAATGAACGAGTGAGTGAATGACTTCAGAAAATCAGTCGCTGCTTCATCTAACAAAGGCTTCCTGCTCCTCGTTCTGCCGTGAGTCGGCACGTACGTGTGGACGTTGGTCCCTGGTGGTGGACAGACTGTGAAGAGCCCGTGTCCGTAAGAGAGAGCTGCAGTGTCACTGGGGACATCAAGCATCTGGATGTGTAGAGCAGCGGAAATGGACGACCTGATGAAACCACAGACGTCCTGGGAGAGGAGCTGTCTGCCAGAGCCAGGACTCCCCTCTCCCTAATTTCGAATGTGCTGGAAGTGCGCTCTGAGCATGCAGCCAGCGTGAGACGAGCTGCAGCGCCCTCACGGCAGCTCGTTCTGGCGCAGCCCAAGCATCAGCGCTCCGCATTCCTTCCCGTCCGTGCGGGAAGGGAGGGCCTCCCTTCTCCGTGGGTTCCACGCATGCATCGACTCGGAGACCTGGACCAGGTCCTCATGTAATCAGATGTGCCATCAGGAAAGGCAGGATCATGTCAGGCCACTTCCACTCATGTGTTTCCTCTACGGACGAATGATTTAGACACTGAAGTAAGTAAGCCTTTCAAACACTCCCTCCCTAGACTTCTGGAGCTCTGCGCCCCACTTACCCCACGCTTGGCCTCATTGTCTGGGTCCCTTTTCTGGTTCTTCTTCATCCTCCTGATCTCGTTAACTTTGGAGTGTCCAGGCCTCCTCTTCTCGTTCCTGTGCACACACCGTCCCTCGCTGACCTCACCTGCGCCTTCCTGCCCGTCCGTGGAAGACAGAGTTTCTGTGCGTGCCCTCCCTGGACACCTGACTCCCCCTGCAAGCCGTGTCCGCCCCGCGCCCAGATGGAGCGCCTGCCCTCCTCTCTGACCTGCTCCTTCTCAGCCTTCCGTGTTTCTGTAAATGGCAACACCGTTCTTCTGTTGGCTCAGCAAATGCCGTGGGCTCTTCCTGCGAATATATCCAGACGCCGACCGGCCTCCCAGCTCCCCTGCTGCACGAAGGTCCAGCCCCCGTCATCGCTTGCCTGGCCGGCCACTGCCAGCTCCCCAGGGGACTTTCCCTTCTGACTCACTCTGCAGTCACGTGGACCAGCCTCTCTCTTGCCTCCAAGTGCAGTTTTCTTGGTGCCCGGCGCACATGGGTGCCCATTAGCTGGCGCCCCGCTTCAAGACGCCAGCCTTGGTCTCAGTCCCGGTGAGCTCTGCCGCAGCGACGAGGCACGGGGAACGTTGGAAGGAGGGGTTGGTTACGGCAGGAGCGAAGTCCCCGAGTGGCCAGTGGGGTCGGGCTCCGGTGTGTACGCAGCAGGGCTGGCTGCACGCAGAGCGGGCAACACGCATCCTCTCCACGGACGAAGTCCGCTCAAAGCCTGACGGGATAATGGAGGTTTGAGACACAAGAAGGACGTATGAGACGCCCCCTTAACATCTAAGGAAGTGAACTGGCCAGAAATGCCTCAGGTCAGGTCACTGTGCACTGCCCGGAGCCCCCGTGGCACCTGTCGTGGCGAGTCCGGCGTGGGGCCAGTCAGCATGCTTCTCAAGTTTGCAGGCACGTGACTGCACAGGAAGAAGGGGTCCCAGAAGTGACCTAGTGATGGACACGTGGGGCAGGAAAGACTTGAGCGAGGTGACAGACGGGAGAAGACAGTGTTGGGTCCAGAGTGGACCAGAGGCCCGGACAGGGTTGAGGAATTATCTGGGGAGGGAGTACTAGAAAAAGTGGGAAAGGTAGGAGGTGACCATCAGAGGGTGGGACTCCTAGAGGCGGTGCCAGCGACTGGGGTAAAACCAAAAGCCTGTGGCAGGCTGAGACTGTGGGAAGTGAGAGGCCGGCGCCCAAAGCCCCACAGGGAGATGTCAATTTACTGAGCATGGTATCGACAGCGTGGGATGGGACGAACGTGTCATGGCACAACACCGTAGAGCAGCTGAAATGGATCGTGACGAACGAACGTCCTTGACAAAGAAATGTGGAGTAGGAGGAAAGAAAGTTTCAGAAAGATAAGCACAGTATACTATTTAGAATGTCAAACAAACACCCCATGTGTGTACCCAGCACGCACGCACACACACGTAAACGCGCGTCCGGATGGGAGCGCACAGACCGGCCTCAGGAGAGCCGTGCCCTCGCAGAGCGCGGCAAGGCCGTGGGGCCCGGGAGGCTTCTGCTGGGACTCACACCATCACCACGGTGTTTCATTTCTTAAAGATCCAAAACAAACATGGCAAAATTACAACACTGGTTAATGTGGATGGTGGATGCGTGTAGTTTCTTATATTTCCTCTTCTCGATGATTGGAATACTTTATAATATTTAATATGAAGTCTACAGAAGGATATAACCCAAAAAATGTTCGTTGGCATGTTAAATGGAAAAAAGCGAAACACAAAGTTATATATAATCCAACGTGAGCTCCACTGCGTGTGTGAGGGAAACACAGCGAGAAAAACTTGGTGTCGTAATAGCCAGAATTTTGTGGGTGGTGTTCTTTTCCAAATTTTTATAATGTGCCTATATTTCTTTCATGCTGGGGGAAAATAAACTCTGTTATTGTCAGAATCAGTAACCACAAGAACCCCTCCCAACTTTATGTTTAGTTTTCAGTGAGCGCCCTGGAGCACAGAGTGTATGAGGTTCGAGAGACAGCGGTTAGAGTTATTTTGGACATGTATAAACAGCACCGGGCTTTTATTCTAGAGTACCTCCCTCCTGACGACAACACCACACGCAAGAATGTTCTCTATAAAACAATTTTTGAGGGATTTGCTAAAATAGATGGCAGACCTACAGAAGCTGAAATTAGGGTAAGTCAACTTTTATGAAATTATGACTTAATCCTCTATTGAAGTTACTTGGTCCACGAATAAACCGACAGATTACTCAAGGAGCTTCCTGTGCAGGAAACCAGGGAAACCTTGTCTCCCTGAGTTCAGATCCTAGCTCCTCCACGTTCTGCCTGTGAGACTCTCAGTTTCCCCATCTGTAAATAGGAATAGTGACAGCTGAGAGGACGTGTGCTTCTATCTGTCCGTAAACATTTATCAGATTAATTTGGTGAAGGTACTTTGACCCCAGCTATATTGTTAATCTTAGTGACTGTCATAACTTATGAGAAACATAATTTATATGCCGTGACGTTCTCCCAATTTCTAAGACTACCCTAAATGGCTATTCTAATGGAAAAATAATTTTCATACCAGGCACAGAAGAAAGCAGCTACAGAAGAAGCAGAAAAACGAAAGAAAGAAGAAATTAAAGCTTTACAAGGGCAGTTGGCCGCACTCAAGGACATTCAGGCCGAAGCTCAGGTTGGGAAGGCTCCCGTATCCTTCACCCCTGCGCGTTCACGGATGCCCTGACTTCTCATCCCACGAGACAGATGCACGGCATGCTTGCTTTCCTTTCACGGCATTATGTAGATGAGATCTGTAGGCTTTGTTGCTTTTTTAAAACTGGTTTGGGGTTACATAAAAGGAATCTTCCATCAGCTGGTTTGAATTAGATAGTGACACCAGGGACTGGCGTGAGCTGCTGGTGATGTTTAGAGAGGAAACCCCAGGGCTGCAAGGAGGAGGTGGAGGACAGATTTCCTCTTCGGAGCTCCTAGCCTCCCTCAGAGGCAAAGGAGGAAAATAGCTCGTATGTGAAGATCTGATGCCCATGCACTGAAGAAGGCAGGTTTCAGGGAAATGTTCCCTCTCAGGAAGCCCCTGGTCCTCAGCCCTGGGAGACGCCGTCTGGGGGGGTCGGAGAGTGACTGTCCTGTTTCTGGGATTTACAGCAGTGTCACAACGTTCACTTTGTCATTCAGGTCCTTCAGTTGAAAGAAAAGGGGAGAGGGAGTGGGGAGGAGCTCATCACGGAGCATGAGGTTTCAGGGGTGCAGGAGGAGAAGGTTCCAGAGTGTGCTGCACGGCCTGTTGTTGATGGGATCACACCGCCGCAGGCTGCTAGGAGGGGAGACCTCGCGGTGAGGGTTCTTGCCACGGCTCGAAGAGAGCGAAAACACAACTGAGTGGGTGTTGAAGTGCCTGTGGCCCAGAGTCACAGTGATGATTCGGGAGGTACTGGCAGCTGGGGCGAACAGGACAGAAGAGAAGGGCCCTGGAGGAGGGAGTTTCCTGGGGATGGGGCCTCACCATGGAGTCAAGGGTGATTCTTTTTTTTTTTTTTTTTTTTAAGATTTTATTTATTTTGAGGGCGCCTGGGTGGCTCAGTTGGTTAAGCGACTGCCTTCGGCTCAGGTCATGATCCTGGAGTCCCAGGATCGAGTCCCTCATCGGGCTCCCTGCTCAGCGGGGCGTCTGCTTCTCCCTCTGACCCTCCTCCCTCTCATGCTCTCTGTATCTCATTCTCTCTGTCTCAAATAAATAAATAAAATCTTTAAAAAAAAAAAAAAGATTTTATTTATTTTGCGCAAGAGAAGGGGGGAGGGGCAGAGGGAGGGGGAGAAGCAGGCTTCCCGCCGAGCAGGGAGCCCGATGCGGGGCTCGATCCCAGGACCCTGGGATCATGACCTGAGCCGAAGGCGGACGCTTAACTGACTGAGCCACCCAGACGTCCCTCAAGGGTGGTTCTTTAAGACATTCATGTTTGGTCCGATTCTCACAGCTGCTTGCTAAAGCAGGTCCGGCAGGTACTCGACTTTTCCTAATGTCATACAAATAGAGAAATGAATTTATTTTATTTATTTTATTTATTTATGTTTTTAGAGAGGGAGAGACAAGGAGCGTGAATAGAGGAGGGGAGGGAGAGGGAGAGAGAATCTCAAGCAGGCTCCACGCCCAGCGCAGGGCCCGACACAGGGCTCTATCTCTCGACCCTGAGGTCATGACCTGAGCCAAATTCAAGAGTCAGACGCTTAACCCACTGAGTCACCCCCAGGCGCCCCAGTGGGCAAACAGATTTTTAAAACTCAGGCGACTTACCCCAAGGACAGACCTCTCAGCGGTTAAGCCAAGACAGCCGGGCTGTGCTGCCCTCTCTCCTCCCCGTCTCGGCACAGCCCCAAGCCGCAGTGAGCCCAGCCCCAGATGCTGTGGGCGCTGGCCACGCCCCCCCCCAGACGTCTGTGGAAACGGTGCCGGGTGGCTGCGTCCTTCAGCTTCCCCGGAGTGCATTCGCCAGCTCGTCTGCCTTCGTTACGTTTGCTGAGCACCTGCTCTGTGCTGAGCCCTGGGAATAAGCAGGGAGCAAAACGAAGTCCCGCCCGCCCCTCAGGGCCACCACTCCAAGAGGAAGAGACAGTGAAGGAAAAGGCAGTACAGGGTGGACCAGGGGGCAGGGGCGGACGTGGGCCTGCTGTCCTAGAACGACTGCTGAGGACGACGGAGTCTCTTTCTCTGCTGCTGCTTTCGTGGTGAAGTGTCCGTAGCATGCTTCCCAGCTTAACCATGTTCACGTGTGCAGGCCTGCGCCATCAAGTGCAGTCACGGGACTAGCACTGTGCCCGCCATCCAGCTCCAAAGCTTCTGGGAATGACAGTATTTTTAGATTGCCTGATCGCTCCCGAGTTTTAGAAAAAAGGATTTGAAAATTACTGATCGGTTTTCTAAGCTATTCAAAGCATCCAGCTTTCGGCGTTGCTTACATTGTCTCCCTGCAAAATACACAAACCCATCTCTCCCTCTCTTTTTATTTAAAGATTTTATTTATTCATTTGAGAAATAGAGAGAGAGACTGAGAGCACGAGCAGGGGGAGGGGCAGAGGGAGAAGCAGACTCCCCCTGAGCAGGGAGCCCGAGGCGGGGCTCGATCCCAGGACCCTGGGATCATGACCTGGGCCGAAGGCAGACGCTCACCCATCGGAGCCACCCAGGCGCCCCCAAACCCGTCTCTCTTAAGAAGAGGTTTTGATGCCTAAAATGCAGTCCCGCTGAGTTTGCTTTCTGTGTAGGCACATAAATCATGTGAGTCCCGTGCCAGCTTCACGAAGTTCATCTACTAACCGTCCCCAGCTCTAAGATTGTGTTCTGGTGTGTGTCCTGCTCCGTGCTTGCCTGTGACGGGGGTCACTTACTCTGACATGAAGCGTGATTCTCTACAAATGCAGCAGACAGTACCCATGTTTGTAGCATATCCCTTAAATGCTACGTGTAGGGCCACCCACTGTCGCTGTTCCCTGAAACTGAAAGTCTAGGAAGGCCCTCAACACCCACCCTGACCCGCAGGCCAGGCTGGTCGGTGCTCGGGGGTGCTGTGAGGCGCTCACCACACAGTCAGGCTTTGTAGGGACGATGGCAGTGTTCAGAGAGCCGGGGAGGAGACGTGCTGACGCGGCCCCCAGGGCTCTGGGGCGGGGGCAGCTGCGGCAGGAAGGCCTGAGCCCCGCCACGGCTTGCTACCAGCAGGGACCCTCTGCTGCTCATAAGGGACCCCTCTGCCTGCTCCACGGCTCAGCGCTCCCCTGCGTCCTTAGCACCCCAGTCGCAGGGTGTCTGACCCAGGGCAGGAGCCGGCCCATCAGACTGAGGGCTGCCTCAGCGTGGGAACGCTGCTATGGCACGTTACCCGTTTAGTCCACAAGCGTGCTGGGCACAGTGTGCATCAGAGAACAGAACAGACAAGAGTCTCCATCGTTGGGGACCCTCGCCTCTTTCAGGGGCGTCGGATGGTGATCAAGATACAGAAGCGAGGGCGCCTGGGTGGCTCAGTTGGTTGGGCAACTGCCTTCGGCTCAGGTCATGATCCTGGAGTCCCGGGATCGAGTCCCGCATCAGGCTCCCTGCTCGGCGGGGAGTCTGCTTCTCCCTCTCCCGCTCCCCCCTCTTGTGCTCTCTCTCTCACTCTCTCTCTCAAAAAAAAAAAAAAAAAGATACAGAAGCGAGTGCGGGAGGCAGTGGCGGAGCCCAGGAGGGGCTGCTGGCTGGCACCTTGCTCTGGGGGGCCTCGGGGGGAAAACCTGGGCAAGAGGAGGAGAGGGCAGGAGCTTGAGCACCAGGCCCTTGGAGGGACGGCTGGAGCCAGGTCACAGTAGGCACTGCAGACTCGAGATGAGGGGACAGTTGACCTAGGAAGCCGGCCGAGGATCTCAAGCAAAAGTAAATCGGCCTGCCGAGGCATTCACAGGCCCACCAGCCACTGCGTGGGAGGACCCCGAAGCAGGCCCCCGGAGCTGGCAAGATGAGGCGTGGCCTGGGTGTGCTCTAAGTCCAGGCTAGGATTTGCTGGCAGGCTGATGGAGGCTGAGTGGGGAGAAGGGGCGATGTCGGGGGTCTCTCCGAGCGTGTGCCCGGGGCTCTGGCTCCTGATCTGCAAGGGTGCAGGCTGGTCAGGAGAAGCTGGGTCCTGGGACCCCCAAGGAGAGAAGGCTTGAACCCTTGGTCACTCGCACCGAGGGCCGTGAGCCTGGGAACCAGGAAGAGCCTGCCTAGCGTGAGGAGCCAGGAACGGGAGGCGGCTGAGGAGATGGGGCTCCTGGGGTGGCCCAGGCATCCGTGGAGAAGGGTGACAGTCACGTGCTGCCCAGAGCCCATGGGCGCTGAGGAGGGTGAGCCACTGGGAAGCGGCAGCAGGGACAGGAGCCCGTGATGGGGCTTGTGAGGGGAAGACACACATTTGGGCGTTCACGGCCCATAGAGCTCTGTTACTTGTTGGTAGAAGGTCTGAAAACGAAGAACTTATTTTCGGCATCAAAATGCGTCCTGGACAGACTCTCACTGTGCAGCCATCTGTCCCTGATCTTTCTGTTTTTGTTCTTAGGGGAAAGAAGGCCCCTCAGTGGAGGCGGAGAGTCAGGGTAGGTACTGGGCATGGGGACTGTCTGCCCCCAAACCCGTCACTCCCTGAGCAAATACCCAGGGATTGTAAGATTAACACAAGCAGGGGAGGGGCAGGGGGACAGGGAGCAGCACTCCCCACCAAGCGTGGAGCCCGACACGGGGCTCCATCCCACGACCCCGAGGTCATGATCTGAGCCAAGATCAGGTGCCGGACGCTTAACCGCCTGAGCCACCCAGGCGCCCCTCAACTTGGCTGCTTTTAAGTGTATTTCACACCAAACTGGTTACTAAAAATTTGAGAATAATTTTTACAGAAGGTTATTTTAAATCCTTTCTATTTTCGTTTCAGACACACAAGGAGGGAAAGCAGCCCCAGCGCCGGCTCCAGAGGTCCCAGATAATCACTATTTAGATAAGTGAGTAGAGGTTCTTTAGCCTGTGCTGCGAGGGTTGAAGGGGCCGGCCGCGTGCAGGTGCCGCGAAGGAAATATTTCTCGAGCGCGGGGGGATTATGTAAGCTAACCGGCTCTTCCCAGTCATTCGTAAAGGTCGGGTTGGCCCTCCGGACCGATGGGCCCCCCCGCCCCGGGAGAGTCAGGATGCCGTTCCCCCTTTACGCCCAGGGAAGCGAGCAGCCGTTTGTCAGAGCGCTGCTAAAGGCCCAGAATGTTGTGACAGCAGAACACTTTTCCCCGTGCAGCCACACGGCAAATCTACAGGCATTTCAGTAGAATATCTTTGTTCTTGTGACTTAGTGTCTCTGCCTGATTATGCTGACGGGTTAGAACTTGAAGGGACCTCGCGCTAGTTTGTCACAAACACCCGCTCTTCCTACTGCGCCCCCGCGCGCTGTGCCCCCACGGACCCCAGGCCGCCCGCAGACGGGGAAGGCGTGCGCGTCCCTGGACGACGCCCATGCCTTCATCTCCGCTCCTGTCCTGTTCCAGTTTGTGCATCTTCTGTGGGGAAAGGAGTGAGTCCTTCACAGAAGAGGGGCTGGACCGTCACTACTGGAAGCGCTGCCCCGTGCTGACGAGGTGCGCCCACTGCAAACAGGTCAGTCCCTGCAGGGCTGCCCGGGCCACGGCGTCCGCAGAGGACAAGGCCTGGGGACATAGCTGAATGGAGAGCCCCCCTCTGTGTGTGCAGCTGGTGCGTTCTCCCTGACCTCACCGAAGTGCGTGGCACGCACGTAATGTGCAGACGCCCCTCGGGGTTCGCGGGGGTCCTGCCGCAGACCAGCACAGAACAGCAACCGCAGTAGAGCCAGCCAGGGGCGTTTCGGGCTTCTCAGGGCGCACACAAGTTACGTCCACACTGTACTGTGGTCTGTTAAGTGTACTTCACTGCTAAGAAATGCTAGCCGCCGTCTGAGCTTTCCGCAAGCCCCACTCCCTGACCGCAGGTCACCGTGACCAATGCGATTACAACGAACAGGTTTGAAATACCATGAGAACGCCCAAAATGTGACACAGGACACACAGTGAGCAAATGCTCTTGGAAAAATGGCGCCAGCCTCACTCGCTGCAGAGTTGCCACAAACCCGCAGTCCGTAAACAACACGGTATTGACGAGGTGCCCGTATACAGGTCAGAAGCGTTTGAGCCCCTGAACCCCCACAGAATGGCACCGTGTGCCCCAGCTCCCCGGGCCTCGAAGGCACCGCCTCTCCCCCCAGAGTCACCACTGCCCCGATTCCCGACACCACAAGTCAGTGTTTCTCGCTTTTTGAGTTTCTATGAATGGAATCCTACAAACTAATTATTTTGTGTCGTGTTAGTCTTCCTGCTTTATAGCAGTCATTGTTCGAACAGTCCACAATCCATCCCTCCGTCCTACTGTTTTCGGAAATTGGCTGTGTCCAGTGTGAGGCTACCATGAGTGATTCTGGCATCCATCTCCCAGTGCGCCTGTGAAAGCACCATTTGGGGTGCACCCCGGGGGTGGAGTGGCTGGGCGCGCCCCACTGGGCTGCAGGGCTGACGCAGGCGGGGCTCAGAGGGGCCACACGTCCACGCACCAGCCAGGGTGTGGGGGGCTGCTCCTCATCCTCACCGCCTCCCTGCTTTCTGCGGATGGTCAGGTGCGGCACGTGTCCGTCCCTCCGTCCATCTGCTGGCTGCTCAGCTGCCTTCTTTTAGAAAATACCTTCTAGTCTCTTGTTCATGGGTTGTTTTTTTTTTTTTAAGATTTTATTTATTTTTACGAGGGAGAGAGAGAGCGGGGGGGGGCGGGGGCAGAGGGAGAAGCAGTCTCCGCACTGAGCAGGGAGCCGGACATGGGACCCTGGGATCATGACCTGAGCCGAAGGCAGACGCTTCACCGACTGAGCCCCCCAGGCACCCTCTGGTTCGCGTTTTAAAATAGATTGCCAGTCTTACTCTACTGATCTGTGGTCATTCTTGCTGTGTCTGGACCGGGGTCCTTTGCCGGCCCCAGATGCCGTAGCCGGCCTCTCCTGCTTGGGGTCCAACCTGTCCGTCATCCTAATGTGTCCTTTAAGTTTAACGTTGTCCACCTTATGCATCTTTCTCATGGTTGACACTTCGTGTATCTTGTTTAAGAAATCTTCTCCTACCCCCCAAATTTGAATCTCTTCTCTGATGCAGTGGCCTTTCTTTTGATAAAGGGGGAGAACTGAGAGAAGGAACTTCTTGCCTCTGCCTTGGGGCTCTTGCAAGCTCCCGCGTGGGCAGACCCCTCCATACCCTCAGGCAGGCAGTGCGGACTCTAGACCCCAGTGGAGGTGCTGACTTCTCCAGCAGGGTGTGTGAGTCCGTGGCATGAAGTTTCGTCGTGCATATAACCTACCAGCGTGGCAGGGGAATCTCCTACCACTCTTCCTGGGATCCTGTGCACATTACAAGTGTGAGGGAGCCGGGATTTTGAACCCAGAGGCCACATGGCTAAGCTGTTCTGCGGCTCACTACACGTGTCCCACTGGAATTAGCCGTCACTCCTCCGGCCTCACCCTTAGCCGTGGCCTTTAGATGCTACCACAGTAAGATGATGAGAGGACACGGGGTGTTGAGCAGAGCGCCAGGAAGGATGGCAGAAGCCCTGTGGGCTAGCGGGGTGAGGACGGAGCTAAGGTGCACGAGCTCGGATCGTGCAGGCTGGCGGGGGCAGCACGCACTGCAGTGTTCTCGGAGACGTGCTTCCTTCTGCACTTCGGAATGCAGGTGGTGGAGATCTCCAGCCTGACGGAGCACTTGCTGACAGAATGCGACAAGAAAGACGGGTTTGGAAAGTGTTACCGCTGCAGCGAGGCTGTTCTGAAGGAAGAGCTGCCCAGACACATAAAAACGAAGGAGTGCAACCGTGAGTGCGGGCTCAGGCGGTGCCCTCCGTGTCCGCGGTGCCCTCCGTGTCCGCAGTGCCCTGCCTGGGGGGCCCGCTGCGGAGGGGGTGTCCGGTCAGGTGTGTCCTGCTCCCCGTGCGGGTCTCACGGGAGGAACTAAATCTTGTCTTACTGACACCCTTTCAGCTGCCAAACCAGAGAAGCTGGCAAACCGGTGTCCTCTGTGCCATGAGAACTTCTCCCCTGGAGAGGAGGTGAGGGCCAGCCCCGTGCAGGTGACGGTGACGAGGTTGTCGGGGATGGACCGCGGGCAGGGGGCGGGGGTGTTCGGGGAGCACCCCGGTCTGTTGCAGCGCTGCCCGAACAGTTGCTGTGTTTACCTGCCTGCCCAGGTGCTTTCCTCCCTCCGCAGCGCCGTGGACCCTCTGGGGGGGTGGGGGGGCTCAGCTCTGGCGGCGGGGAGTGTGAGGGGCTCTGGCCTCCGTCCGGCCTCTGCGCTCCTCCGTGTGCTGGGGCCCCAGATGGCGTCTAGGCCAGACCACAGCACGCCGGTCCCCTCGCATGACTAAAGCCGAGCTCGGCACCGCGTGGAAATCCCACATCACGGGTGATTGCAGGCTCTCGTCCCTCCCTCGTCAGCCATGCTGACTCCAGCTTAGTGCTCGAGGGGCAGGGCCGTCCGTCCCTCACCTCCGTGTGCCAGGCAGTGTGGCTTTGGAGACCTGCCTCTGCTCAGCTGCTTCTGCCCCGACCCCCTTCACCACTGCCACCTGCCGCCCGGCTGTGTCCTGCTGCCAGGCTCTCCCTGTCCCAGCCCTCGGGGACGCGGTGCGCGCGAGACGGCTCTGCACGGACTGCGCCAGTCAGCCCATACCCGCGCGGTTGTCCCAGGCTCGTCCTCCCTGCCCCAGAAGACGTCAAGTCCGTAACAAAGCACGCAGCGGCGCACAGGAGCCCGCAGGCGGCCTTGGCGTCCCGTCCCCGCTTGAAGGACGGTGGGCGCGTGTTTCATCTGCACCCACCGTGTGCCCCCTTCTCGTGCTCCCTGGAGCACAGCCACAGCACGGTGCAGAAGCGCTCGTGTCCGGGCTCCGGGGAGGCCGCCCCGGGGACTGCTTCCTGGGCGGGCTCTTCCCTACAGCTCGGAGGGGCCGGTGGCCGCAGGGCTCGCGCAGGGCTCGCGTGGGCTGCGTCTGCTGGTTGCGTCCCTCCTGGCGTCCTTCGATGTAGTTCTCGTCCCCTCCGTTTCCTGTGGGTTGGAGGTTAGGCCGGGTCGGACGCACCTTTGAGTTTGAGAACTTAGTTTCTCCCGCGGTTGGTTCTTGGGTGCTGGTGTGTCCTTCCACGACTATAGGGGATTATTTTAATTAAGTCCTGTAATGACATAAAGTACTCTGCTTGTTCCAGAGCCTATAAAACGGGACATGCTCGGGAACCAGGCAGCTGCTGTCCCTGCTCCCCACCCCTCCTTCCTTACAGGGCTCCTTTCTTTTTAACGGCTTAGCCTTTTTAAAGGGTTACGTATACATAGTTCTCACACACACACGTTCTCTCGCGTGCCCTTTAGTTTTAGGATTTAGGAGCCTTTGCATCTGTGTTCTGGCTGCTCCGTGACACCCCGTCCCCTCCTCTGGCTGCCCCGTGTAGCTGCCGGCTCTGAGCACTGCAGCCCTCGGCCCCTCCTCCCGCCTGCCCCGCCCTGTCCCCCGTCCCCAGCTCCCCAGCGTTCGACTGGAGCGGCTGCCCGGCCCCTGGCTCGCAGCTACAGGCGTCAGCAGGCCTCTCAAGCTTCCCGTCTGCTTTCTCAGAGTTCGGTCCCCCGTGCTGGGTGGCAAGTGGCCCCTCGCTGGTGGCTTCAGCGCCCTTTTACGGTCTCACGGTTTCTGTGGGTCAGGAGCTGTGGGCACAGCCGAACATCTCCTCTGCTCAGGGTCTCACCAGGCTGCGATCCCATCTGTGGGCTGGGCTGGGGAGGGATCGCCAAGCTCACCCAGCTGCTGGCAGAGTTCTTTCTTCGTCATTCTAGGACTGAAGTCCCTGCTTTCTTGTTGACCATCAACCAGGGGCCACCCTGCGCTCCTGGAGGCCACCCACAGCCCCGTGCGCTCCCCAGACCCACACGGTGGCACCCGGTCCGTGACGACGCTCCGTCTGCCGGGTCGGTCAGGAGCTGCGGCTGCCCCTGGTTTCGGCTCTGGCGGAGCTCATCTCGCTTGTTCCCTCGGGTGCCGGGTTGACGCACCGTGTGCCTCCTTTGTTTCAGGCGTGGAAAGCTCACCTCATGGGCCCCGCTGGCTGCACGATGAACCTGCGTAAGACCCACGTGCTGCCCAAGGCACCCACTCTGCCGCCGGGTAAGGCCCGCGCCTTCCTGCACGTCGGTGCCCGCATGGTGGGGTCCCTGCCCTCCGTTGTCTCTCAGTCTTTGCATCCTGTCTCCGGCTCTTAGTGAGGAGGCTCGTTGCCTGACCAGAACTCTGTCAGCACTAGATGCATGCATGGATCCTGCCCTTTCTGGAGGCTCCCCGCGGCGTCATGGACGCAGCAGACCCAGCCCCCGGGTGTTCTTAGGGTGCAGACCCTGTTCTCGGCCTCTTTCTGCATCACCAAACCAGAGTGTTTAGAAACACAAAGTTAAATGTAGATTCACAGATAATGCCCACTACCTGTTTTTTAAATCATGTTTTTCACTATTTTATGTCAGATTTAGAATGCCTTAGAGGAAAATATGATATTTTTCATTAGAAAATTATTCCCAACCAAAACACTGTTGGATGCACAGCTTTACGTTTGGGGTGTGCCGAGGGCGGTGCTCGGCTGACGGCCCCCCCCCCCCCCGCCCCACAGCGGCCTCTTCCAGAAACCAGGCATACGGGCACTTGGAGGGGTTGTGACTAACTTTTCTGACCCAGTGACAGCATGTCAGCTAACATCTCCAGGGCTTCCAAGTTGTCCCAAGGGTCTCTGCGATCCTCTGATCCTTCCATTGACCTCCTTGGGAAGCTCTGTCTTGTCGTCTTCCTTGTCTCCTGCCCCTTCTGGGACCCTTCTCTGGCCTCCCCGCCAGGGCCACCCCCACCAGGGGGGTGCCTGCCCGAGGCTCCTCAGCCCGGAAACGAAGCCCTAGTCTCACGGCCGCCCCTTTCTTCATTACTGGAGCTGGGCTTCTGAAGCCAGCAATTGGCAAACAGCTCCGTTCTCTTCCCTCCGTCCCTGACGTCAGGCTCCTCCTCTGAGCCCCGTTCCTTCCTCTCTGCCGGCTCACGTGCGCGTCCGCCTCAGCCGGTGCGGCCAGTCCTCGCGCCTGCCCTGCTCAGCCCGGGCCCCTGCGGACTGAGGGGCCACTGTGCCGTCACCGCGGCCTCGCACTCTGTTCGTGTCTTCGTCTCCCTCCTAACACGGTGCCTGTGTTTTGTGTGTCTGTGTGTCCAGCAGGTAAAGGCCCAGCCGTGGCCAAATCAGGGACCTCAGGATCAAAGGTTGGAAGCAAGATCCCAACCCCGAAGGGACTGAGCAAAAGCTCTGGCAGGACATACACGAAGCGGTGACATGACACGCATTCTGCCTCCTTTGTCCCCACAAGGGACGGAGCAAGTTTCCTGACTGTGAACCATTTCTCCTAAAATCCGTCCTTGGACGTGGTGACCCGTCCACCGCCCCCGCTGTCCCTCGGCTCTCGGCCCCACTCGTCCTTACCTGTCGGGCCGGGTGTGCGGCTGACCGAAGAACCTGCATCCCGGGGCTAGGACCAAACCCGCCGCAGCCTCAAGCAGCCGGGCGTCTGACCTCCCAGCCCAGTGGGAACAGAAGAGCATCAGCGTGTTTGAAGAGCACCGACCCCGCTGCCCGGGCGGGTCAGCACGCGGAGGGCGTAACGCGAGCACAGCGCTCTCCCCTCGTGTGCTCGCCGTCACTTCCATAAAGGCTTCGCTGTGAACCTGGTGCATGGTGGTCTCTCACACGTGGCAGAATGCCCGCCGGGCCTTGGCCCCCGGGCAGTGGTAACCGGCCGGGAGAGAGACGGCGGGCGCGAGTCTCACCGGGCCCCGTCCCCCCCGCCGGGCGCGGTCTGCCCGCCCCTGCCTGGCGCACCTTCTCACCCGTGTCCACGGAGCCCACGCTCCCCACTCTCACAGGTCACCGCGCGTGGGTCCCCCTGCGGCACTCGTGAGGAGCGCCGGGGCCCGTGAGGAACGTGGGGTCCGCGGCAGTCCCCCCTGCTCCGAGTCAGGGCTATGCTCAGGGCGCTTACGTCCCCTACACGTGTGCAGCCCCCAGACAGAATTATGAAGTGACTGTCCCCTGATTGTCCTGAGCTCGCCTGACCACACGTGTCGGTCGAACAACCCTCTCCTAAAACCTAGAGGCAGACGTGGTGTTGTGGACTCTGGCGTGGAGTAGCTTCTACTTCACGTACGTCACAAGTGAGCCTCCAGCCCAGACCGCAGGGCGTCTGCCTCGGGCCTGTCGTGCTGCCCCTCACACGTCTACACTCGAATTGGGACCATAAGTTGGTCCTGTGATACTTCAAACACCAAACACCACTTCCAATGACGAACCCAGACCCCGCTCCTGGGCAGCCGTCGGGCCCGGGGAGTGGGCCCGCGTGCTTCCTCTGCGGGCGGCCGTGGCGACCAGCCGTGTGCGTCAGCAGTCTGCTGGGAGGCGCCCCGGTGTCCCCCCGCGCAGGGCTGTACTCCCCGCGGCCGAGCCTCCCGGGGACCCGAGGCGGCTGGCCCTTCCTGTCCCACCGTGCGGCCTCCTGAGCGTCAGGCAGGCTTTCCGAACACCAGCGAGAACTGGGCGCGATGGACGAAATGTGGACTAAATGACTAGTGCGTAGGTATTGTGAGTTCCCAACCGTGTGAAACAACAAAACGTATTTTAGAAAACCCCTAACGGCTGTTTGAGCGGTGTGCTCCCTGAGTGCGTTCGTGACCGTGAATCCGCACGACTCATTCTCCATTCTGGGCGAACTAATACCTTCTCATACACAGCAAGGATAAGACTAAGAGAATTACCTTTAAAAACAGTAGCCAATTAAAAAATAAAAAGTATATGGGGAGAAATAGCATAAACCTTCAGTGGACAGAGCAGAGTGCAGATGCCGACCGATGACTAAAGGAGCCTTCCTGGCCCGGGAACAGCGGCTCGACCTGCCGGCCCGTCCACGCGCAGACCAGACGCTTCCGTAACCAGAGCAGCGGTGACGCGAGTTAGTGAAGGAACCATTCGTTCTCCGATCAAAACTTTCAAATATCTGTGTCCTATTTTCTATATATTGTAACTTATGTAACTTAAAAAAATACTTGTAAAAATACTTAATTTAGTGATTGACAAAATTGGGTGCATTTAAGACCAGTTAGCATCATTGGTTACGGAAGAATCCTGCATTTACGTTGAGATGATCCCTAGCAGTGACTCGTGGCTACTGAAAGCCTTACAGAGTTATAGACTATTAAGGAACCACAAATAAAACATAAAAAATTTGGAAGGAACTGTAAGATCCCTTGGCCATTTATAAATAAATATGTAAATTTGGAACAGGAATTAATAATTGACTTTTCATTCCTGAATATGTTGTGGGTATTTAACTATTTATTTCTATTATTTTCATATTTCAGAATATTTTATGAAGCTAATTTAAAAAAATGTGTATAAATTAGGCATCAGAATACACATGTAAATACCTTTAATGAAAATTTGCAACTTTTTAATGTTTTAACATCGTTTTCTATTTGTCTTTATTTCAGTTACCAGAATTATAATATCTAACTAACATATTTTTGTTGCTACTTCCGGGGCTAGGGGTCACTTCACCCTGAGCATGTGAACATAATAAAAAGATCACTAAAAGTTTTGTCCCTTTTATTTCAAGATTACAATTAAAAGGCAAACGGAGTGTGGTCCACTCTGGCGCTCAGGCTGGGGGCTCGGCTGGGGCAGGCACGGAGGGGACAGAGCCCGGCCCCACGATGCGGGGTGTGTGTGGACATGACCTTTCCTGCTGAACAAGCTGAAGGGCTGTCAGCTCCATGTGACTTGGAGGAAATGGTCGCCCAGCTTTACCCTGTGGGAGGAAACCGGAACGTTCTTCAGACGGTCTCACGGTGCCCACTGGACGTCTCCACGCCTGGCCCCCTTGGCCAGAGGGACGGCGGTCTTGCTTTCAAATGAGTAAAAAGGCAGTATTTTCTCTGTTCATGTGTGAGTGACTTTAAGCTTTTATCAGTTTGGGGAATTGTAAAATCGCTTCCATTTTTAAGTTGTAATGTGCAGGTTTTCCCTTCCACGAATACGTAGTAACGTAAAGCTGACGGCACTGCAGTTTCGACGGGACAATGACTTGGAGTGTTTTCTCTTGTTTGGTGACTGGGGCACCTGCGTGGGGGAGGGGCCAGGTGTGCGCACCCAGCGTGTGGGGCGGAAGAGAAGGCTCCACTCACCCCTGCCGAGGTGCGGGAGGAGGAGGAGCCCTTCCTTCCATGGGCTGCTGGAACTGGGTGCTCATTTGTGCCGATGCGTGTTTGCTCCTAAAAGCCAGGTCTGCTCCAGAAAGCTGAGCATGTGGCCGTGCGTGCGCAGAAGGCTTCCTGGCTCTCGGCCGCTCCAGGGGGCCTCCAGCCACCCTCCCCGTCAGCTGGGCCGCGATTGGAGTGGTGACCCTCTGAGCTGCTCCCCTTGGGGTCTTCAGAGTGCTCACGAGGACCACGTGGGGCCAGTGAGTTATCCTCAACGGCAGCCAGGGATGCTGGCTCCCTGGAAGGCCGCAGGCCCGGATGAGAACGCTGGATCCTGACAGACCCGGGAGGCCTGTGAACAACAGCTCATCCCTGCCTCAGTTTGCCCTCTATGGGGTGAGGCCGAGGAGAAGGTGCTGATGAGGCCCAACCTGGCCAGTGGGTCTGCAAGTTTGGGGAGGGAGCCCGGCCCTAAGCTGAGGGGTGCCCCGCAGCCCTTCATCCCTCATTAGGCTGTACCTGCAAGGGGCAGGGAGCAGGGAGACTGAGGCACGGACCACCACCTGCCCGGGAGGCCTCAGAACTCCACCAAACTTCCCAGGCCCCAGGCCCATCTGAGCCCGCTAGTGCTGGGATTGCAGGGGAGGGGCAGAGAGAGTGGGGAGGACTGAGGTCAGACACCCCGTTGGGTGGATTTCCTTGTGCACAGGAGGAGCTCATCCCCAAGCAATGCCCTTTGGTGGCCCTGGTCCTGCAGGTTGCGGACTCACCAGGAGAGGCGTCCCTGGTTCCTCTCGGTCCTGGGACCAGCCCGGCAGAGGGAGGGGTGCAGTGTCCTGCCTGAAGGTGGGGGACATTGTGGGAACCACTGCCGGGGTTCTAGATAGAGATCTTTCTCTCCCCGTGGGGTAGGGAGCACCTTGGGGGTGCTGTTTACCAAATCCCGGGATCCTAGCAGGGGGTGGGGGTTCCCTGGTGGTTGGGGGGCAGGAGGGCGAGCCTGCACGTGTCCAGCTCCAAGCGTCAGCCTGGGCGGGGCCAGGCCAGGAGCGGGGCCAGGGACAGAAAAAATCACCACTCCTGTTCTTCCTACTGAAAGTTTTAAAAGCTTTGCTTTTTTTTTTTTTTTAAGATTTTATTTATTTATTTGAGAGAGAATGAGAGAGAGAGAGAGAGCACATGAGACGGGGGAGGGTCAGAGGGAGAAGCAGACTCCCCGCCGAGCAGGGAGCCCGATGCGGGACTCGATCCCGGGACTCCAGGATCATGACCTGAGCCGAAGGCAGTCGCTCAACCGACTGAGCCACCCAGGCGCCCTAAAAGCTTTGCTTTTTAACACTGCCATCTGCGACCTACGTGGAGCTGTTTTGCATTCCTGTTCCTGAATGAGACAGAAACTTGTGAAACAAGACACAAACACAAGAGCTGAACAATCAATCATTTGACTCTATTACAGTCATGAAGTCTGTGTCAAAAGGCGCGTCGAGAGGCCTTTACAGAAATAGAAAACCAGAACACATTTATTTACAACATGCAACCAACAAAGAATTAGTACCCGAAAGACACGGGGAATTCCTACGCATCATTAGGAAAGGGCCAAGCAGGCCTCTAACCTGGGTTTGTGAGCGCAAATGGGTAAGTGATTCCAGAACACAGCACTGCAGGGTTCTGCAGCTGCAACAAGTTATCGCGAGCGCAGGGACTCATGGCACACGGGACGGACTAAGATCGGGGCTCACCGGGTGCAGGGGCCCCGGGGGGAGCCCACTCCTCGCCATCCCAGCTTCCAGAGGCTTCTTGTGTCATAAAACCTACTGCATTCACAGGTTCTGCAGACTAGGGCATGGACCTCTCTGGGGGCCGTCATTCTGCCCACCACACGTGTAAGAACGCCACACGCCTAACATCTATTTCACTTTTCAAAAAGGCCCTCACCACCTGGAAGATATGCGGGAAAAGTTAAACAAAGATTAGTGATGGCAATACCAGGAAAAAAAAGAACAATACTAGCGTATCGGTGTTTATTTCACATAAAAACAGTATTTGCACTAAAAATGGTTCACAATTCATATGCTACAAATACTAAGGCAACTTAATAGCCAATGCATTTAAAATAAGATATAAACAAATTACAAACATTAAATGAACCGTAAATTCATAAATGTAAAGATTGAGTATAATTAATCATGCAATAGGTAAGTTACGAGGATAAAATTTATAAAAATATTAAAAATACACTAAACAAGGGGCGCCTGGGTGGCTCAGTCAGTTAAGCGACTGCCTTCGGCTCAGGTCATGATCCTGGAGTCCCGGGATCGAGTCCCGCATCGGGCTCCCTGCTCGGCGGGGGGTCTGCTTCTCCCTCTGACCCTCCTCCCTCTTGTGCTCTCTGTCTCTCTTTCTCTCTCTCGCAAATAAATAAATAAAATCTTTAAAAAAAAAAATACACTAAACAATATGCAAGTGGAAAAATGCAATTAGTAATACACATTCTTAAATGAAACACTATTTTCTTTTTAGTATATGTGTGTGGAGTTATTCTTAGAATATTGTAAGCCCTACGGGGTGAGTGTGGAAGCAGCTGAAACGTCAGCAGCGTTCCTGGCCTCCGGCTGTTGAAAGCAATGGCCCAGAAGGCACAGGATCCCACGATCCCCAGGGGCAGGGCATAGGTTAGGAGCTAGGAAAGAATGTAACCGTCATCCCCCCTTCCTGCTCCTCCCTTATCCCGTGACTGCCTCCCTGCGTGCCTACACGTCGTCGGGGAAAATGCAAGCCTGCCTCAAGATATTTGCCATCCCTGTGTACTCCTTTCCCACGCTTGGAGGCATCTGTCCTTGCTTTTCTGATAAAAAAACAAATAAAAGCTATGAGCAGAATCCAGCTGAGGCTGCCTCTGGCAGAGGCAGTCCTGCAGGGCCGCTCAGATGCTTGTCTGAGAACTTGATTTCAGTGCGTGACGACATTTGGCGCCCGAACAGGGATTTTGTTCAGGACTCGATATAATCCTCATCCTGCACATCACTCCTCAAGCCCGAGACAGGGAGAGGATGTGCGCTCATCCAGGTAGGAAGTACGGTGCTTGATGCCTGCGACGGAGTGACGGTTGAACTCACATTTTTCTTTCAGGCGTGCAGGATTTTACTTTCAATTTCTCTCTGATCTGTTTTTCTGTTATAAATGTGTTAGTTATGGGAACATCTTTAAGTAGGCAACAGGCTGTCCATAAGGAGCAAGTGCGAGTGCTTCTGCACCTTACAGCATGCAAAGTAACTGATAAGGATTTAATACGATTGTTGTCAGTAATAGATCAGCATAGGGCTCCCGTTCAGTTGAGGACTGGGAACGTGTGGGCAGATGGCTAAAAAATGCACTGGGTCCCGTTACAGCTTCTCATTTGCATACATGGGATCTCTGCCGGATAGCTATCCACTCTTTACAGAAAAAAACCAGCTAAAACTAATTGGCAAGACCTCATTCCTCCCCCTTCAGATCCGCCGACGCAGCCCCCAGTCACGGCAACAGCCCCGTGAATGTAGCCCCTACCACCCCACTGGAAGCTCCAATAATATCCCCCTGATAAATTGCCTTCTCCTTCTCCGCCCTCCCCAGAGGCAGAAAATAAAGCTGTCGAGGAGAGTGCCTCCTTTTCCTTGGTAGGAAAGATAGTAAAGGAATACCAAAAAAAAAGGAAGCCCAAGAACAAGAAGGCTTTATTGGAGCACGTCCTGTCCTTGGAGTGCAGGGACAAGCTCCACCACACGATCACGGAGCATCCCAGGGCCTCCGGGAGCTCCGTCGGAGCATCCGTGGGAATGGGCCCTCAAGTACTTTCACAAAGGGTATCACAGAAGGGATCAGTGGTGGTTAGGAGATGACCCGTTGGGACTGGAAAACATTGGTCAAAATGGTTCTTAACACCGCCCAATATTCTTTATGGCTACGAGAATATCGAGGCGCTGCTCAGATAACTGCCGTGGACAACTTGACAAGTAACGTACCTATTGGAATTGAAAAGTTATTAGGAGAAGGGCCTTAAGGACTGTGGACGCCCAAGTTATTTGGGTCGAAGGGCATTTCGCAAATAGCAGACGCTGCCGTTAAGGCCCGGTCCCGGATTCCAGATTCTCCTACCCCATCTGGCTCGTTCGCTACCATTCGGCAAGGAGCCAGTGAACCCTGTATAACTTTTCTAGAGAGACTGCAAACTGCTATAGCAAGGCAAGTGGATAATACTGATGCACAAACACTTCTAACTGCTCAGCTGGCCGATGAAATTGCCAATCAGGACTGCCAAAAGGTTCTGGCACCTGTAAGAGGCCAGCGCCCCAATATTGTGGAAATGAGCCGAGCCTGCCAAAATGTGGGCACAGAGTCTCATAAGGCAGTATTGCT